CAACTACACGTGAGAGTTGCCTCACTTTTGGCCCATTTTTCGTCCCTTTTTTGAAAAAATCTCAAGATTTCAACAGCATTTTCGTTTAAGAGCTTGATTTCCTTTTCCCGTTGGTATCATTTTCAAAAGTCTGTCTTCAATAGTCGCTGAGTTATGAGGATTCAAACTGTCCGCCAAGGCTTTGACATAGAGTCGCTGTGGATCCTAACTGTGGCAGCAAGCACACCGTAGTGCAGAGAAGGATATTCGCATGTGGCGGCTTCCTGTTTGGGGCGTAAGCCTGCCAACTTTGCAAGGAGATTTTTTGCTTTTGGTCTAACGCCACCTCACATGCTTTTAAGAGGGAGAAAAATAAGTTAAAGTAATGTGGCTGTCGGATTCTCGAAAATTATTGAAGCAACATTGTCAAGGCAACATAGCTACATTTTTGGGAAAGAGGAGGACAGTTTGCACATTACTGCGGCTTTTCTGGGAAAAAATGGTTTTGTGGAGGTTCTCCAGGAATCTGAATGGGGGAGACTTATGACATTCATAAAAGAAAACTATGAAAGAAATGGCTGAATTAATTTGTAACTTTTTGTTTCTACTTGCCTAAATACGGGGATTTATTAATGAAATGTCTAAAATGGAGAGAGTCTGAACATTCGGGGAAGCCATGTCAAATTTAGTGTGGTCCTAAACACATCACAGTACATGGTGAATGAAAAGCATGGACTCACGCTTGTGTCTGCTGTTTTCGTCAAGAAATAATATAAACAACTAGGGTTAATTATTATTGCGGAGACATTCTAATATGCAGTCAAGAAAATGTGCTTCTGTGCATGCAAATATACGGGCTCCAAAAGCTTATTTTCTGATTTAACTTGTTCGGAAAATGCTATGTTGAGGATACGATGCGTTCCAGCAGTTTTCCTATTCCGAAAAAATTGTAATGAATGCAGTTATGTGGAGAATAGTCTAAGTAACACGACCATGTCTTAACATCATTACTACCTCTAACCTAAAGCAGATTACACTGCTCTGAAAACGGTGCTGACTCGAGCCGCACTGCTGGTTAAACAGAATCTCATTAAGAAGCTTTACTAGCATTAAAATGGGCTTTTATGCGATTTTCACTTCTGGTGTAGAGGCCATTTATGACCCAGCGGGCGTACTAGAACCATAAAGATGTTTTAAAAAGATACAACATATATTGTAACACCCTGCTTTTACTTTTCTACTACTTTCGGCCACCCTGTAAAGCAAAGACTTAGGAGAAGGGACAAGTTCCACCCATATAACATAACATCACCTCCGCGGGCTACCGGATTTTACAGGTGTGTGACTGTGCGGCTGTCGTAAATATTGAGGGATTATCCTTCCTATGTAAGTCAGACAGGCTTTGACATACAAAATCGAAAGTGGCTTCAATAATTTACCTCTTTTAAAACCTTCTTGGAACATGTTGTTAATTTTTGAGAAGATACATGCTTTGGTCTACAATATGTAATATCCTGTGTCCATCAAAATACTCTTGAGTCCGGTTTCAAACCTAAAGCTTGCATGGCAATTATGGTAGGCCTTTGAGGTGATTTTGCGCCTAGGAGTCATTGGGCCGCTAGTACTGGAAAATACTTTCATTATGCTGTTCCTACAAGCTGAACTTATGAGTTCTTTTGTCTGAGATGGAATATCCAAACTGAGGAATAAACACGTTTTTGTCTATAGATTAGCCTTGTCTTTCGGGCCTATTATTCTTATTAGAATGAACGATAAGTACGTAAAAGACGACTATTCTGTGTATCACAAGTGGGAAAACCGCTGACAAAAACGAAATCCATCAAATCTCCGAAAGGAAGAGTGTGAGAGTCAACATGGAAAGAAAACATTCATGCTTCAAATCTAAAACTTGAAGCTCAGATATTTGCCATTTCCATGCAGTCCTACCTTCAAACAAAGATTCGTCACTGCTTCTCATCTTTAGATGTAATTTATTGCCCATTAGACGATGAACTCAACCGGGATGTTAGGTATCCTGGAAATATGCATAGATTGTAATCAACTTCACCTCAATCTATCAACAGCGAAAAGAATGTAGAAGAAATGATGACAAAGACACATTTCAAACCGAATAAATTGCTACGTCACAACAAACTACAATCTGTACACTCTGCGTCTCTGACGGCAGAGACAGGCCGCTATCTCGTCCCCGTAGCGCAAGGAGGGGGTCATCAAAAACGGGGTTTTCGTCAAATTTATGCCAGGCGGGCTACTAGTGATTTGGGGGGTCAAAATAGCCCAAATAATGAAGAAAAACGAAGGGTGGAATTCTGCCTGTCCACTGCCTTTAAAACCATCGAGAAACAACTACGAAACCAACTACAACCATCCACGGAACATATGTGTGCATTTCATCTAAATCGGTTAGCGCGCAAAAGATCAGATAAATAACACTGCAACATAGCTGTTCACTAATACGTTGACGAAAACTAAAACATTGAAGAAAACCTTCGAAATGGAAGAACAGCGACAAAAGGATAAAAGTCACGCTGCACTTACAGTCTGCCCCAGTCGGGATCAGGCCGAGCCGTCGGCTGAATTTGCGCGCTCGCAGCGCTAGGGGATTGCTTTGCATACGCGCGCTGTCGCAGAGAGTGAAGAGATCGAGGAAAGAGCAGACTAGCTAGCCGCAGATGTAGCCGAAACCTTTGCGGCGCGGACTCCCGCCATGCCGATTTTGGCCTGGTTAGGATTGGGGCAGACTGTACGCTGTTAGTGCGGACAAGTTTACCGCGCCTCACAAACCAAATCTGACCCAGTGCGCTTCGGCTGCAAAAGAAGCGACAACGGCGCGAAAGCGGCCCGGCTGCAAAAGCGGCAACCGGCGCGGTCCGGTGGCTTCCTTAGGGTTGCTTCATTTCATACTGCCGCATTGACTGCAGCAGACTGCAGCAGACTGCAGCTGACCGCACTGACCGCAGCAGACTGCAGCTGCAGCTGACTGCATTGACCGCAACGGCCTCACAATCGCTGCATCTCGTAAGAGAGAAAATAGTTGCGAATACATCGAAATACATCCGTGATTTACGCCTAGCAAGTTCATAGGTTCTAATTTACTCCTCTCAATCAAATTTTGGCGATTGTTTTACTTCGATATGCTCATATTTGTTCAGCTTCCTTTTGTCATTGCATATACCTATTTTACTCCCGCTCGTGTTGTCTTTTGGGGCAGATATTATTAAGAGACTGTTTGAGCTACAACTATTTATCTTCTCCACCTTCACAAAAGGATATAGCGATCTGTGCGGTCCCGCGGTCAATGCGGTCAGCTGCAGTCTGCTGCAGTCAGCTGCGGTCAGCTGCAGTCTGCTGCAGTCTGCTGCGGTCAGTGCGGCAGTCTAAAGCAACCCTTAGTCGCACAAAAACGTGCTGTGCCTGTGTGAAGTAATTGATCCTTAATAATTTATACTATCACTGACTGGCTTGCCCGGCTGCGCTCGGCCCTCTCAAAACAATATGATAAAGCTCTCATCCGTATCCCTGTACAACCTTTCCTGTGCCCACGTCTACATGTCGTTTCCATATTCCCGCTTTTTAGTAATCAGCATGCTCAATTACCCCCCTGTGCCAACTCCCAGCCCCAAAGCTTAAACTTTGCAGGAATAAAGTCGATATCGATCGATGACGAAAAGTATCCTATGAGTCCCGCCCCGAAGTGTATGTGTGCCAAGTTTGGTCCGGATCTGTTCAGAAATGGAATTTTCTATTCGGAACATATTAGGTTGTCCCAAAAGTTCTTGCGCCGGATTTTCAAAAAATCATAACTTCCTTTCTTCTCAACGATTTTTCCCAACTTTATTTTTATATGAAAGAGGAAACCTTTTTCTTTGTAGCTGTGCCTTTGCCATGAATTAGCGCTGGTAAGTTCGAGAGTTAAAAGCAATTGAAGGAAATTAGTCAAGATCGACATTTTTCGAGCTGGATCACCAAAAATTTTGGAAGTATTTTTATTTGATAGAGAAAATTTTGCGCATTACAGTGGTGCCTTTTTCATAAATTAAAACGAAGTAGGTCGAAAGTTAGAAGCAAATAAAGAAAATTGCTTCACTTTTGCATTTTTTGCACATGCTCAAAAAAGCTTGAAAACGTCACAGAAAGAACGAAAAAGTCATAAACATGGGTTTTGTGACCTTTCCTTTCTAGCTGAGTGAAAATCGCGCCAATCGGGAGCAATTTTGTTTTTCGTGATTTTTTCTGGTTTTTGGGCCTGCGTTTTTCACAAAAATCAAAATCGCTCTCGATTGGCACGATTTTCACTCAGCTAGAAAGGGAAGGTCACAAAACCCATGTTTATGACTTTTTCGCCTTTTCTGAGACGTTTTCAAGCTTTATTGAGCATGCTCAAAAATTGCAAAAGTGAAGAAATTCTCTTTATCTGCTTCTAACTCTCGATCTACTCGGTTTTAATTCATGAAAAAGGTACCACTGTAATGTGCAGAATTTTCTCTATCAAATAAAGATACTTCCAGAATTTTGGTGACCCAGCTCGAAAAATGCCAATTTTGACTGATTTCCTTCAATTGCTTCTAGATTTGGAACTTTCTGACGCCGCTTCACAACAAAGGTATTCTTGTAAAGAGAAAGGATTCCTCTTTCAAATGAAATTAAAATCAAGAAAATCCATCGAGTGGCAAGGAAGATATGATTTTTTGAAAATCCGGCGCAAGAACTTTTGGGACAACCTAATACATACACACAGACAGGCATACAGACATTTAGCTTTGTATATAAGATTTAGTTTCAACTATGCAGGAGATGATACCTCTGTACTACGGACCATCTCGCCAGTTTTTATCGTATCACATACAGCAATAACTCATGAAAGTAAACAGTTGACTTTGATGAATACCTGCTTTAGTGTTCAATTTTTTTATTCTTTGCTGCCTTATGAGTCTGAAGGTGGTAAAAGTCCCTTACTAACGATCTGCTTTTGTGCACAACGACAAAACATTTTTATTTCTTCTCATTACACGGCTCATTACGTTAGTGAGTTTGTTAATATCCTGCACAGGGGGTTACTTCTTGTTCAACATTCAAACTGGTTGCCTGTCGTTCCATGGCGGTACTGAAAAGACATGCATCAAAGAAAATGGCAAATGAATGCGCATCATATGGCCACATACTCGCAAGATGTATCAGCTGAGAGACGCGAACTAGCAGAAGGTTTTGCGATTGGATGATTCTAGAAATAAATTCAAAACGTCCTTATAGAAAGTCTGAGATGAGCGCTTGCCTCAACCTTTTTCTTAGTATTGTTTGTGGAGCCGAAAAGAGAATACCAACAACTTTCATTGCTGAATCAGCCCGTAAAGATTTGGTCAGTTATCAAATACCCTTCTACCCTCACCCTTCTTCATTTTCTTCACCAATATGAACCAAATCTTCTTGTGAATTTAGTTTCACAGCAGTCGTTGTGTCTGCAGTATTTACGCTTGAAGCCAAAATAAATGCACTATTGTCATTCTATAACTAATTGTAGACTACTTATGCTGTATTGTCATTGGAGGGCTGCGTGATGTGGTGGGCTAAGACGCTGCCGTCTTCCATTTTTCTATTACTACAGAGTTTCTCAAGAACAAAGGGCTCAGCCAAGCATTGAAGGCAGTGTCTCACCAAAAGTTGGTTGCCAAGGTTTTAACATGTTATTAGCCTATCGGACCCTGTCTAACACGGTAAGAGCTTAAACCGCACGAAGTTCCTAAAACATCTTTCCAGGTGTCCCCGCGAAAGCGACTAGAAGAGTTACGCCTTCTAATTTTAGCCTCCGCAACAGTGGCAGCAACACAATGGAGGTGGACGACAAATGGAGGGACATGTTTGAAAGTGTAAGAGGGGAGACCGGAAAAGTTGACCGCGCGTATAACTTTGAACGAATTTTTTCAGCGTCGAGGAGGTCAAATTGAGCTGAGTGGGACTTGTTGCAGTGAGATTTGATGAGAGTTGAAACACTGCTTTTGAGACTAGGAGAACTAGGCGCAGCAAAACTATGTGAGCAAGCAGGGTTTTGGGACTTAGTGCAATAGAATACATGCGCAAAGTTTCAAAACGAATCGCGAAAATATTTATTCTATCAAACTCTTAGCAGTCAAAGACTGCGGACATATCAGCGTCTCTGATCGAGCTCTCTTTTGTTTCTTATACCATTTGCTGTCTCTCGCATGCAAGAACTAGCAACGCAACCACCCAATCTTTGCGTGTAATGAATCGTTTGTACTTTTGGAATTCAGTGATGCGACTGAACGAACTTGCGCAACGCTAACTCTCATAATTTAGTAAGTTCCTCAAGGTCAGTGCATATGGATGCAAATTCTCTCCTGCTTTAGCGCATTGGCAAGATAGCGACAGTGTCGCAACTTTACCCCAGACATGCTTCCAGTTATAAATAAAACGACTCTGTTAAAAAATCGTTTTATTTATCACTGGAAACAAACTATCATTACTTACAATAACGGGCTAAGGATGTTTACGTGGCTTTGTCTGTGTGTGTCTGTGAGTGTGTCTGTTACGAAATTCGTAGAGCATGTTCCAGCCACCCTCCTGGGCTCAAATTTTGCACAGCGCATGGTACCCGCATGAAAGTGCAACATGCAAAAACACGAGCAGATTCGTTGAGTGGATCCCTCAGAAACTGCGCCTCAAATGGAACCACTTTGCATTTGGGCCGCAAAATTGGGTCCGTAATTCCACTTTTTGCAGAGTCGTGGATGTTTATGCCAAGTAGATGTGTAAGCCATGAACTTAGGCGCAAAAAAGTGATCAAAAGTCCATTACCTTGAAAAACGGCGCCAAAAGTATTGGTTGCGTAAATGGTCAATTTGCCAAGGTTGTACCAGAGCATTTGACGAGATTTTTGCACAGAGATGTAGCTCACAATGACTGCTGTTCTTATTGCAATATCAAGACCATGGGAAAATCAAAAACCTATAAAAATTTGCGTTTGTTTTCGTGCAAAAAGTCTCATCCACACGAAGACACCGATTTAACATAAAAAAGCTTTAGGAATGAGTAGTTGTTTACATTTTGTTCGTGATAACTGGCATTGCTCGGTGAGTGCCAATGCCATCATTATGCGAGAATGAGTAAGGCCTAGATAGTAGAGCCAGTGCGAGCCTCTGCGAAGCAGAGGTGACGCACTGGTAACTATCCTACTATAATAACGCGCTAAGAGTGTTTACGTGTTTTTATGTGTGTGTGTATGTCTGAATGTCTGTCTGTCACGAAATTCATAGCGCGTGTTCCAGTTAACGTCCTGAGCCCAAGTTTTGCATGGCGCACGCTACCAGCATGAAAGCTCACTATACAAAAGCATGAGCGGATCCGTGGAGTGGATCCATTGAAAATTGCGCGTCAAACGGATCCACTTGGCTTCTGACCAGCAAATTTGGGTCCGCAGTACTACTTCTTGCAGAGTTAAGGATATATTTGACAAGCTAATGTGCAAGCCATGGACGTTAGCCTAAAAAAGTAATGAAAAGTCTACTACTTTACGAAAACAGCGCCAAAAAGCATTCGCTGTGTAAACGGTCAATTTTTCAAGATTTTACCTGATTATTTGAGAAGATTTTTGCACAGAGGTGTAGCCCACTACCTTTATTGTCCTTACGGCGACTACCAAGCCATAAAAATTCCAAAAGCCTATTTTAATTTGCATCTGTTCTTCTGGGAAAGATTTTATCCACGCGAAAATACCGATTTCACATGGAAAACCTCTACGAACGAGTAGTTGTTTACGAATTATTCGTGAAAGCCTATATAGCGCGGTGAGTTTCAATGTCATTATTATGCGGGAATGAGTAAGGCATACAGAAAATAGGGCCAGTGCGAGCCTCTGCGAAGCAGAGGTGACGCACTGGTGACTTATAATAAAGCACGTGTCTATCTGTGTGTGTGTTTATGTCTGTCTGTCACGAAATTCATAGAGCTTTTTGTAGGCAAAATCTTGAGCTGAAATTTTGGTCATGACACCCTACCAGCATGTAGGTAAAAAGTACAAAAGCACAAGCTGATCCGATATTTGGGACCTTTAAAAACTGCGCGTCAAACGGGCCCACGCGGCTTTTGGCAAGCAAAACTAGGTCATTAATTCGACTTTTTGCGAAGTCATGATTTGCCTGACAAGTACATCTGCGCCTCATGAGTTCCAGCCCAAAAAGTGCTCAAAAAGTTTGCTTTTCTGCGACAACAGCGCCAAGAAGTGGTGATCGCTTAGACAGTCGATTTGGCAAGGTTTTACCTTCAGATTTGGAAAGATTTTTGCACGGAAATTTAGCTGAAAGTGACTATTATCCTTATGACGACTACCAAGCCAAAACAAATTCAGTAATCTAATCAAATTCGCAGGTATTCCTTTGCGACAAGTTTTTTTTTCACTCAAAATTACCGATCTTACGTGGAAATGCTTCAAGAATGAACAGTTGTTTACTATTTATTTGTGATATTCAGCAGCGCATTGGGTTTCAAAGTCATCATTATGCGAGCATGAGAAAGGCAAACGGATAGGAGAGCCAGTGCGAACCTCCGCGAAGCGGAGGTGACGCACTGGTATAACTATAACACTAAATGTCCAGAAGCGTATAACACCAAACACATCAATAGCAACATAACTTTCTCAGGTTATTCTAACAAGTATCACCTCCCAGTACTCGATACATGCGATCTACGGTCAACTTTTGAAGCACGTCATTTACTGAAACCATTCGAGTCACACTTTAAAGGCTAGCAATTTTTTCACAGTAATGCCGATTCACAACTAATACTCAAAGTTGCCACTGTCGGCGTATATCTTCTTTCAAATTGCCAGTGCGAATTGCTATTTTCCCCTTCGCTCTGGAATGAAAATCCTTACCAGCGTCGGCACTGTCTATCGGTAGCCTTTCTCTAATAAGAGGAATGGCATTTGGAATTGCCTCCACCAAACGTGCCATGCCAGGCAGATCGATGATAATCTGTAACAGGCATCATTGTATTCTCGAAACACAGGCATGCGCCAGGCTTTCCCGCTCAGCCGCTTCATTATTGATTATAGCGCTTGTCTAAACAATCAAAACAGGATGAAGCAGCAAGACGGGTAAGTCTAGCGCCTGCAACAACATCGCACAACTGAAAATATCCGATTCTTGAATTTATTGTGCTACGAAGAATGAATTCTGTCTAAATTTTTCCGCCACTAATTGTAAGCAAAAATTTGTCAAGCAGATGTTACAAAGTTGCAGCATTTATTTGCGATTTGCATAGCTAGAGTTCAACGACCCCAATGTGATAGAAAATTCACATTGCGAGCTGAGAACATTTTATCGTTGAATTTGATCTGCACTTCAAATGCTAGCTGCTTCTCTGTTTCCAGACCGGGTGCATTCAGCCATTTGCTAAAATACCAACAATTGGGAGCAAATTTAGAAAAACAATTAGGACTTACCCTATTCTTGGCAATGTATGTACATAAACGGGCATTGCGTAACCGCAAATTTTTGGAGGTGAGTACTGCAATTCAGTAAATTCTTCTAATCAGACGTTCTTTGATGTTTCCAAGTAGTTATTACAAAAAAGCATATAGTTTTTGACTTACACTGCACCGCCAACTAATTAGATAGCAGTCAAGCTTAGTTTAGAATAAAAATAAAGGCGGATTCTCACCGCCGGAATTTATGTCATTCTGTGGCCGTATTCATCATTGATACCTTGAGGTAAACTCTACCTCCAGGTACTTTTATCACTCATTATCAGCAAAATTACATTGAGAATTTACCTCAAGGTACTTTTGTGAATACGGATACTTATTGATAATGAGTGATAAAACTACCTGGAGGTAGAATTTACCTCAAGGTATCAATGATGAATGCGGCCACTGCAAAGGAATCACTAGCGTCTGTTTAGCCAGAAATGGAACGAAAGTGTAGAGGCAAAAATAGATAACTGAGGAAGGAGCGCAAGCTGGCAATGCAGAAATACTCTACTCCAGTTCTAAATCTGGTACGACTGAAGTTTACTTTGAGTGACTTACATCAAAAGTTCCAACGTTTGCATAATTGACCCTCATCTCAATAAAAAGGGAGCCTGACGGAAGTAGTCTGAGTCGATCTCTGGCTAGTTCAATAACATTTGGATTCGTGGGAACAAGCTGGAGATGAATATGGACACTTTTGAATGGGCAAAGAAATCCGCACACCTTGACTACTATATCGGTCATAGAATTATTTCTAAATACAAGTCTGCGAAGCTGTGAGTTCGATTTGTCAAGCGGTACATAGAGACTTATCGGTTCTCTGTAACAAAACTTTATTGTATTAGCAAAATCAAGAGTTTAACCAACACTACGAATGCCCTTTCATATTCATCCATCTCAATGGAAAGCTCGTCGTAGACGTTGATTAGAAACCAGAATATTTTCCGAGGAAGTTTTTGGAATAACAATGAGTGAGATTTGGTGAATTGATAAGGGTGCTTTAGGCAGTTTTATCTAATATCTCCTCCATGACGAAGGCGGTCGCCCAAATAGGTTGACAGCATGCAAGGCTGACGCGCACGCGGCGCGTAGGCAATTGTCAACCACGGGTCGCGCGCACGCTCGCGTGAATGACCGCTGACCGAGCGTGCGTGCGCCCTGTGGTTGACAATTGCGCGCGCGCCGCAGCTTTGCATGTTTTCAACCTATTTGGGCGACCGCCTTCGTCTTGGAGCAGATATTACTCTCTAAAAAATTGTGTGGCCATTAGCTCTTCGAAAATCAGATAGCTTCAGGAGTGGATGAGCAGCTCCGAAAATGTTATCCCAGACTTTTGGAAGGATTTCGACAACAACTGAAACGCATTCAAAATTTCTAAAGTTTCTGTGGCCGTATAAACGACGAAACTTGAGTGTAAACCCTGCCCTCAAGTGTAAGTTTTACCTCAAGGTTCATTGGGCGTATTCATCAACGAAATGTTGAGGGTAGGGTTTACCTCGGAAAGTGATTGACCCTTATTCATCAACGAATCTTGAGAGTAAATCCTACCATTAGGTAAACCCTACACCAGAAATCGATAAACCCGTATATACGAATGTGGCTCATTAAGGTAATTTAACCCTAGCATAGAGCAAGATATTCACTCTGACACTTTACAAACATTAAACTCTTATTGCACTACTCACCCTTATTGATATTGTTTCGACAACATACACATATGTGTAGTTAACACTAGCTGGCATGCCCGGCTTCGCTTGCACCCGTGGGTTTAACTGGCCCAACAAAGAGATTGGGGCGCAATCTAGAAGCTTCAACATATCTGCGTTTCGACCTTCTTCTGCTATTCTTGAGCACAGGGCAGATAGTTCCTGTCCGCATCGTCTTGAATTACCGCATCTCCTTCATCGTGGAATGAAAATGAGTCCTATAGCATTGTTTACACAAATCGGAAGCGATTTGATAAGGAATGATGAGAGCCCATTTTTCTTCAAAATCGATAAATCAATAGGAGTGGAAATTTCGTTGCGAAATAGCTTTCGGGGTGGGCCGCTGTCGAAAACATATGTGTGCAAGGTTTGACGCTGATTGGTCCACAACAATAAATTCTATAAAAAAGAACACATTAACTAATAATTTGCCAACATTTAGTTTGCCAACATTTAGTTTTATAATGTATAGATTATCTCAAAATTCCTAAAGCACCTTTCCGTGTTCTCGTTCAATGTTGTCATCCGGTATTACCAGGTTGCTGCATAAGTTCTGTCCAATTTAAATTTTCAAATTCAAAATATTATAACTTCTTCCAGAATCAACTTCCGTAATCTTTTCCGTTCGTTGAGCTATCAGAGAAATACTAGCGAAAAACCTTGTCAAAAAAAGAAGCAAGAACTCAAACATTTTGAGCTATCAGAGAAATACTAGCGAGAAAGCTTGTCAAGAAAAGAAGCAAGAACTCAAACCTTTTACAATGCTTTTCTACAAACCTCTCTTCTTTGACATGGCAATGCTCCGTTATAAGAACTGTAGAAGAGAAAGTTTCGAAGATTATTCTACATCTTAAAAGTGCCCATATCTTGAGTGTCGAGAGATTTTTTCTGGCCGAATGAAAACGAAGCTGTGTCTAACCTCGTTTTAGTACATATAACTATTCCAGCCTTCAAATTATAAAGATTTTACACTTACCGCAAGGGGTAAAAGGCAACTTATGGCTGGGCTCTGCTAGCTCTTACTTTACTCTGGCACTTCCAGCATTAGACGCCTCTGGTCGCGCAAAGTTATTGCTTGTAGAAATTTTGTACAAATAATTATTCTTCAACAACAAGTTTTACTAGTAAGACGTTTTTTTACATAAAAGTGAGTTTGTGCGTATACTGGACTGCTTCACCTTATTTTGTGACTTGACTTGGAAACAGGGTCAAGCGTGTTGATGCGATCCGGGACCCTCATTTAAGACCCCCCTTGAAGGTACCCATCCGTACGACCCCCTCCCCCCCTTCCCCATCCTTCCCCATCTATCCCCCTTACCTCCCATGCCCACATTCCTCGCGGTAACCTGCATAAACGAATGTCACTCTCAAAAAACACCTGCGTGACAACTTCAGCGAGGTTTCGGCTGATCTCGGTTTCTAGGCCAATGGGTGCGCCCAGCATCTGTAGCACACATACACGCCTTCAATAATGTTTGAGATTCTGCAAGTTTTTTTTTGAATCTTCAGGCATATTTCTGACCAGCAAATTCGATTCCCGTATGCGACACAAATTTTTGCACGGAGAAGAAAAATGACATTCTTGAACTACAAATGTTTTCGACTAAGAAGCTTACTTCCTACCTCTTCTACAGTTTTTCCCGCGAAAAAAGCCGCTTTAGCGCCGTCCAGAACGATGTCAAAAACGTGCATGAACACGGTAATTTGAAAATTCGTAACTAAAGGTAGGAAAAGACTGAGAGGCTGCAAAGCACAGGTTCTGTAGAATAGTGCCCAGACTATCAATAAAAAAAGGTTTCATCCTTTGAGGAGCAGTAAACTCGAAAAAATTTAGATGCAATCCTAAAAAGCAAAAACTGGGATTTTTGAGCTTAAAATTCTGTAACTTACCAAAGAAGTTATAAAAGCGCCTGCAATTTTTATGAGGGAAAGTAGGAGGATGGCCTCATATTACAGCAAAATTGCAGCCAACAAGCTTCGATAGCTCCGAAGAAATTTAGATGCGACCCAAATACGACCCCCCCCCCTTTCCTGATTTTTTGCTACCATACATAAAATCATAAGAAAATTCACAGTTTACAAAATAACACCAGATTTCGCACAGTAATAGCAGGGCTTATCCAAAGTACATATAAATTGTAAGGGCCGTATAAATGGCCTTACAAAAAAATTTGCGAATTATTGATTGTCATCGTTGATCTAGATGTGCGCTTTTGTCGAGTGTGTGAGACTTCAGTGAGGCTTCGGAAGCAAGATTCCTAAGTCAATTAATACATTTCGATTTTTTATTAAATCTTACATCCTTCAAAAGTGTTTTGAGCTTTTGGAAATGTTTTTTTTTTGAGAATTTGTAAAAAAATTTTATCCTTAGTATTCTTATTTCTAATTTTTTCTAAATTTATTCTAAAAAACATGTACTGGTTATCTGCTTTTTGATTTCCTTTTAAGCTTACGGTTCTCAGCCAAACTACTTTCTCTTACGACCCCCTCCCCACCTTAGTTGCCCTCTTTACGACTCCTTTGCGACAGTCGCATCACACGCTTGACCCTGCTTGAAAAGGATATCGTGGTTTCTCGCAAGAACTTTTTCTCAGCTGAGAACATGTCTTGTCCATCTGAGAATTACAAGCCTGCAATCTCGTCAGACTGATAGTTCATCAAATATGATATGTATTAAAAAGAGCAAGAAAGATGCTTTCAATTTTTAGCAAATATGCTAAAAATGGTACAAATAATATTGCATTACGAGTGAAAATCTTTTGAAAAGGTTGTTTTAAACACAAGGCAAAAAAATCGGACAGCAATTATGCAGCAGCCTAATATATCCGGTTGTTACAGGTTTAAGTTTCAAAGAAAGTACGTGTCCAATTAAGGACTTTGATAAGACGAACATCAATGTCAACTCAGAAGAATTTTCGTAATATGGAACTCGCTCATTCAAATTCTATTCCACCAATATACCTGTTCGGTAAATGATTTGATACATGATCAAACTATAGAAGCTCAATCAGATACACTCAAAGATGACCAAAAATATTAGAAAATTCCATCCGTTTTTTAGTATGATCACACATATAGATGAGAAAGAGGACATAGGAAAGATAGTAATAATTAGAAATATGTGTTTGTTGTCAAAAAATATCGTTAAGACTAAGTGGTGCCTTGAGAGATCACTATATGTTTGTTCGAAGTGAGGGGTACCTTGCTTCATGCAAGGCTCAATATTACCCCGATGATTCAAGTTCGTGAATTTGGGTTAGTCGCTTTCTGCACCCTCAAGGGTCTACCTCAGAGTCGTTGATGAGTACGCCACTGGTGTTACCAACTCCGTATTCTCAAAGCAAACCTCTTAGAACATGAACAATTAGAGTGTTATTCAATGCAAGCATCTTCCGTAATAGGTATTTCTTTTTTCAGTAAAGGCTTCGCGAATCAAGTACCATAATTTAACGTGGTAAGGGATGTACTCGGAATTTCAATCTCATAGGTGAGCCCATAGTCGAAACCTGTCTTTGTGATCTGCCAAATGCCCATACACGCTGAGTTATGAGCGTTTTTTGGCTCAATTGGTTGAAGACACAGCTAGAACATGTTCGTCCAAGATTGTGCAAATGGTTCAGCGCTTGATATCAGAGCACTCTATGCATTAAAAACCTTTTGTTTAATCTGTTCGTACTAAATACTTTTTTATTTGAGAACTGGAAAGACAATAACAATTGTGCAATGATTCTCCGCTCTGAAAAGCACTCATAACTCAGCGCCTAGAGGCGCTTGGCAAACAAAACAATTTTGGCATCAGCGTTCAATGCTCTTCAAATTGGTATGTATTTTATTTGAAAAGCCAACTTCAACTTTGGGTTTTCCCCTAGTCAGATAATTTAAGTGCGGCCGCTGGAGTGAGCTAAACACAAAGAATCTACTGTGTTTCACTTTCCTTCACTTTAACCACCTGCTATCAAGCCCTTAAAGGTATAGAATGAGAATTTTGGATGATTGACAAACTTAGATATGGTAAAAATCTTGAATCAGAAATTCCGGCTTATCTTGATTGAGAGAGAAACCAGTCTAGAAACATGATTGCTGGAAAGACGAAGAAAAGTTGCGTCGAATCTAGGTCAAAGCCTTGTTAGTTTACTCTAAATGATTTTTAAAGTCAGAAAACGGCACAAAATTGTGGAACGGATGTGGTGCTTTTGAATTTGAGAAAAAATTCACGTGTTATAAGATATGTGGAAAATCGCCGTCCATTCTGAGAATTCAGGCTTTGAAATCTATTAACCAGTGCGTCACCTCTTTAGTGATCCCTAATGGTCATACGTAGCGTTACTGTCTAATCAATCGAGTAACCTTTAAGTAAGAACAAAAAAACCTCCCCCGTTATGCAACTCTCACATGCATCACAGCATTCTAACAAGGGAAAAACCTCCGTCGAAGTGGGGTTCCCACATGTAACGCATATCATCGTGCTGGTCTTGGGGCACTAATAACAAATCCGTGTTGTTTAGCTGCTCAATGATCTTCTGGGAATACAGCGATCGTTTACTCAGGATGACCACGGATTGCTTGAGTTAGCGGCTCCGAGAAATGTCAGTTGTGGAAGGATTGCGAGTGGATAACTGTGGAGACTATGGAGGACGTGGTAAAAAGTTTATAATACTTATATTCCAAACATTTTTCCATTTTGTAGATTGTATTGTTTGCTCTGTATCCTTAGAGGGCCCTAAGGCAGAGAAACACCCGGTACTCGTTGGATAATTTGCAAAAATGCAAGAATGTTTGAAAACATAAACATTCCAAACGTTTTACCACTTCCTCTCTAGCTCCGCAGCTATCCACTCGGCCATTCTCCAGGACTGAATTTCTCGGCGCCGCTAATCTAAGCGATTCGCGGTCATCCTGGAGAAACCACCACTCTAACTTCTTCCAGAAGATCACTGAGCAGCTAAGGAACACGGATTTGCTTCTACTGCCTCAAACTGGCACAATGATATGCATCACCGTCGGAACCCCACTTTGACAGAGGGTCCCCTTGTAAGTCGTTCCTCAACATATTTTCGTTGCGAAGCTCCACAGACTGTCAAAATCTGTCAAAAGTTTCGTACAAATACCTGCACTTTATGAGCTGAATCTTTCCGAGATTCGAGTAGTCGAATAGCTGCATTTCATCAAACACCTTTTCACTGATATTTCGAATAAGCAATTTCAAACGGACTCCGTCAGTCGCATGCAATGCTCATCTTAAAGGCAGGATCGGCAAATTCCAGCAACTCAGGATTTTAACGCGGTAGGTTCCTTATCGCCCAAGTATGACAACAGTGCAATCCCGGTTGCACAGCATTTTCCCTGCCGAGAAAATTGCTCTCGAACTTACACACGCAGGCCAATCTTACACGCATCCGGACGAGTTGGCAATTTCCTTTTCACCATTGGAGGCTGCCTGCCGCAACGCTATAACCATTGCGTCCTGCCACGATTTAGCGTCATCAACCTTGCTCCACTCGTCCAATATCAAAGGGAAGGGCATTAAAAAACGCTCATTTTCTCAAGCTCTCAAAAGTGGATTTTCGGGATCAGCGTATTGAATAACCCCAGGTAAGCGCAAATTTCACTAGGTTGAGATTTGCCGAGCCACTGCCTTCAATAGGCTTGTTCAACCTTTATTTTATAGCATAGCTTTCGGCAATCTCCCACTAATAAAATCCTCCATGAGTTATCGAACTTTTGCAACTACTCCATGGCGAACAAGCAGACGATAATTATCCGCATGTTGTATGTGTGTGTGTTGGTGCATGTTGTGTGTGTGTCTGTGCCCGTGGCTGTGTCTGTGTCTGTGTCTGTCTCTGACTCTGTCTCTGTCTCTGTCTGTGACGGACTTCAGAGAGCGAGTTCCAGTAGAGGCCTGCGCTAGAATTTTGCTCACAGCACACTATCAGCATGTAGGTCCACTGCGCAAAAAGCCGATTCGGTAAGCAAAACTTGGGGACACTGTGGACACTGTGCGACAAATGGATCCATGCGGTTTTTAGCCTACATGAGTAGGACTGGTGTAGACTTTGTGCAAAGTTGTAAATTTGCTCGGCATATGTGTTTTCAAGACAATGCTCCGTAAAAAATTCTCAAAAAGCATGTTTCTTTGCGAGAACGGGGCCAAAAAAAAGAGATTGCGCAGATATCGATTTGCCTTATCGAAAAAAAGGATTTACCTAAAAATTCAAGGAGTTTGCTTACAGCATCAGCTCCATGTTAGTTGTCTTGAGCTTTTGGCAGCATACAATAGTACAGGACCTAGTATAGGACCTCTTATCAATCCAATGCAAAAGTCGCGGGCACAAAATGTCGTTCTGGAAGAAAATCGCTTCATAACGACGAGGCATGAGGACCCTTGGGGAGCATCGCTCCCTTTAGTAAGGACCGCCCATCTATGCGCGACCACCCAGATTCTGGCCTGTGGGTCCGGAATTGTCAGGGTTTTCGCGGATTCTCGACTTCATAATCGGAATCAGGAACATGAGAAGACTCCGGAACGACCAAAACATGGAAGTCGAGAAGGTGGACGGTGCCTTTAAGGTGGTCATTGTCTCATGTCAATTATCGAGTCATATATTTGGCAAACAATTCAAATTTGCATATGCTCTTCTGCACAAAGTTTTTTTCTCCCAAGGTTACCGGTCGTATATGAAAAAGCTTTTGAAATGAGTTGCAAATCATTCGCCAGCATAGTTCGGTGGGTTTCAAAGCCAACATTAAGCAAGTAGAGGAGAGGTATGATTCATGCGTCCCATTCGCTATTGGTCAAATCACCGAAGTGGCCAATAGCGAATGAGGTGAACACCATGAATTGGTTGTATCGGATAGTCTGGCACCTACCAAAGCATGTAGATGGTACCAGAGGGAGCCTTTGCGAAACAGAGACGCACTGGTCATGATAGAATGATGCAACGCTAGTGTGGTCGTTCATTGCATAGGAAGGACGCACGTTCAAATTTTCACGAGCAAAAACGGCACAACTTTCTTCAAAAGAGCGGATCGCAGAAAAGGATTGCAGTCTGAGTTCATCATTGTTAGCAGCATATCTTTTTAGTTGATTATATGTTAGTCAGTACAACACATTTCTACACTTTGTTAGGCTAGAAAATGTTTCACTGGGAAGTGAGGTGAGGGTGTCGTCGCTAATAGGTCAAGTGTGCAATCTCACATATTACGTTACAAGACTAGAGGTCTTATCTTATCTCAAGTGCCCACTTCGACTATGGTGGCATTCGTCTTCAGCAAGTTTCAAAGATGGTTTGCATTGGAAGCCTGTGAGAGGTGAAGCCTCTGGTGATATGAGTATGTTGTTAAAGCTTTGCCTGATGGTACTCAATCCGTATTGAAAAGTCCGCATAGTTATCCTAGAACTTGCTTGGTCTCTAAATGGGCATTTCCGCTGGATCGCAGAATGGTAAGACGTTTTAGCGTAGTTTTGCTGCGCTTGTTGGTGCTCCACCTTACAATTATGGTGTCTCACCGCGGTGGAACGCATCAGTCGTACTTATCGGGCAATTAAAGGAGCTGTGAAATACGCAGCTTGGGACATCGGAACAGCCACGAGGACTCTGCGACTGCTACAGAACTTACTTCGACATTTTACAATAGCGAACAACCCATACGGTAATAAACTGAACAAATGAAGATTCCCTGCTCGAGTTAATGTCAATGAATAATGATAGCATTTTAAGCACTATCACACCGCGCACTGCTCAACGAACTTGTTGAGTCGTCATCAGAAACAGACTAGAGCTTTCTATGTGAAAAAGCCAATTACTTGAAGCAAAGCAAATAAGGATCGGAGCGGAAACAGCGCCGGAATTCGTACAAATTTTTGAGGCATCGTTGTAAATAGTACGATTAATCAAATTATGACGATTGCCATCCACAACTGTTCAGGGTCTGTAACAATATCTAGTTCTTATCAAACTATTCAAAATGCATGGAGAACAAAGTTGAACTGAGCCTGCGGCTCTTTTAAATAGTTTTCATCTAGAACGAATTTATGAATGAGTCATATAGTTTCAAGACACCACTTATGCCAAGATTTAACCTGATGTCAACTGCCAGATTTCATGACAATAAAATTAAAAAATCACGTAGGAAACACACAGCTGTACCAACCAGCATCGGTTATGCACTGAATTATAGAGTGCAAAAGGCGCTTCTCATTTACCGTAATCAAATTTGAGCTGAGGTTAAAGTTGACTGCAGAAACATGCGACATTACGTCTAATCCTTGCCCATTTGACGTGGGGAAATGTACTGCTTCATGATCTTGTAGTTTCTTTTTACTTCTTCCGATTCGTGCGCATCACTGCGTCCATTTGCTGTGTTTATTTTGAGTAGAGTGGAAGGTCGCAAAACACTAAACTATAGGATGTGACCATTATATAAAAGCCTTCTCCGACGCGAGTCTAGCGAATGCCACGATGAACATTGCGCTGTCGGGGACTATGCATCAAATTTTGAGGTAAAAATGTTGACTCATTTTTCACATCGTTTTTTGAATTTTGAACCTGTATCGCGTAGTCATTATTCTTTAGCCTGGATACCTAATTGACTTTGACCAAGATTGTACGGTGCTTTTCGGAGAACTTCCTTGTAAACGTTATGAATAGTGCGCGCTACTGGATGAGTCGGATCATGCTGCTACTAAGTATTTTTGAGACGTATGTACGTATAGTGGGCAAACGCCTTGTAGGGGAAACTGCTACGTGCTTTACAAGAGATTGTGTGATGAATGGCATTTATACGGCGACAAGTTGAACTCATGGCGCGAAGCAATAAATCAATGAATTATCATAATAAAGCTCATTGCCATCTTGTTCACTGCTCAAGTTTCATTGCTCTACATCACAGCGGTCAACATGGAACACGCTTCCAGGTTTATGAATCTTATATCTTTATATCAGTAGCTATAGTCGAATTTAGTGCAACCGCATTTGTTTGCCCAGAATGCACTGCGGAAGTTGGGTCTATGACGTATGACCATCTCTTCAATGCGCATTGCTAAAGCAAATATCAAACTGAAAACGTTAGAATGGAGAGAAGGCGGGAGAAAGTAATGGCGACCAGGAACTCTCATACTTGTGACGTATTCGGGTCTTTGTTTACAAACCTGAGAGCGATGCGAACACATCATAGGAAGAAACGCAGAAATATAAGTCGCGAACAATAAGCTGTCCTCAATTGGAGCTGAGGTCTCTTTAAGTAAATAAGCTTCACCGTTTTTCAAAGCTTATATGGAATAATTAGAAATATCTTGAGTTAGCATTGCACGAGAGCTTCACACATGCTGAAGTGAAGACGATTACGTTGCTGAAAGGATAAGTTTTGGCACCATACATGAGTTTAAGGTCAGCGCATCTTGGCCGTAGTAGAAACTACGACGAAAAAGTTTTCTCGAGGAATAGAAGGCTTTGACAAGAAGAAACCAATGTCTTTAGTCGCGTATTCTCTAGTACTAGTCGCTCGTCTAGCAATGCGGAAATCACCTATATGCGATGCCACCGTGCTTTGAAAACTCCACATGTATCCTGCACAAGACTAAGAAAGCTCCCTATTGTACCGCATACATGAAGGTAACGGTAGACGGTCAGTGCTCAACGCTATCGCGAAGCTGAAGCATTTTAGATAGTGCAGGATGGTGGAGTCATTAGTGTAGAACACTGCTTCACCCATATCGCCCACGACCCGAACCCCGCAATGCTAAAATTGGAGGAAAGGGCAGTGCAATAGATAATCTCACTTTAAAGAGGGCCTAACTGTGAGGCAAGTCTATAGAAAACTCGGAGAAAAAGTCCGGGATGCAGCAAAGATTCAACTTTACTTTACGACGGTGCGCGACATAAGATGCGACGGAGCTTGTCTGGTGCATATTTTGAAGTCGCTTTATTAGAAACACTACTGCTAAATGCTGTATCCAACCAGGAAAGCTCTACAATTTTGATACTGTGTCCATACAATTGCGTGTCGACAAAAACTGCCCGTCCGACCATGTACGTATTCTAGCCCTGCGCACAATGCCAACGACGACGGTTTTACGCTTGGTAAGCTGCATCCGCATAGTACCGCCCATTCATGCAACTTTTTTCACTGATTATCACGCCAACACAGAGGCCCGTAGTAAAGTTCGATCAGTTCAGGTGAACTGAACTTATCCCATCAGTTCACCTCACGTTAGGTGAACTGATGACCGCCCACCCTCCCATGCTAAAAGAATGGCGAGTGAACTGATAGTTGACCATCTCTCCACCTGCTGCAGTCAACTCTTCCACATCAGTTCACGTTCAAGTGACCTGAACGTGAACTGATGTTAGAGTGATGCAAATAGTGTGTAAAAGAGGAGACGCAGACAAGACTCCCGTAAGTTGCTCCTGAGTAATTTACGATACACATCAGTCAGGCCAAAAATGCAGACAAAATCGGCGCAAAACTGCACAACAGCGCCCGAAAAGGAGAGGATCGATGAACAGCTGATTTTGGCGAGGATAACAAAAAACAAATTCTTCTCTTTTTTGTAAACCTTACTGGTTTTTTTCAGTAGTTGTCCAAAACAAGAACTCATCTATTCATTTCATTAAATTCACGCTGCAACCATTTCGTTTTTTCATAAAATTTTCGTCGCAAATTGTGTTTTTGTTTTATCCGTGCATTTGCTAGGCGAGATCCTTGATAGCGGTCATCATCGATTGCGTAATGGCCGCTATCAAAGATTGTCCAGCGATGCGTCAAAATGTGGGTCGCTAGTCGGACTCGAACCACGGCCGCGCGCGTGTAATTCCAACCGCTTACCCGTTTGACCAAACCAGCTCAAGTGCTTCCTTTTTCAAGAACGCACTTGACTGTAATGTCTCGGAAGCGATCCGCATCCAGATCAATGGCTCGCCGAATGCTAGACTGAGGCGTGATGAGATCAACGCCGGTCCGCGTCGAGAGAGGTGCCCTAATGGGGGGTTTACTACGGGCCAGAGACTCGTTGAAAAGATATGGGCAGAAAGCCCTTTGTGTCGACGATACTTTTAACCTCACGTCATACGCAATGAGGCTCGCTAGTAGTAGTAGCTGATGAGTATGATCTGGGATTACCAGCCACGTATCTTCTTTCCTATAGGTGAGACAGCTTTGGGCTGATTACAACTATGGCTTTTCAAAATGACGGAAACAGAGACGGCAGTCTTGCTTATGCAAGTGAAAAAGCATCTACCTTCTTTTCATACGTACTACTTCATGTCCGACGACACTAATACGTTTTAGAATGGGTTCACGAGTGTTTCCTACTGAATGGGCCCAGAGATTACGTGTATTTGGCTCGTAAAACAGGCTATAAAACGCAGGACATGCTGAACAAAGTGTGTTAGTCAGCTTTACCGTATATTTTTATACGGTAAAGCTGACTAACAACTAACTGACTTTATATACAGTTTGTTAAATTTCGTTGCAGACGGAGCTACTGGAGCTCTTCATGCAAAAGCTCATGAAGTGTGCCTAATCCGCGAACAAGATGTTTTTGTGTTGAAGTATTCGTCGCTCTTGAAGCATCTAGGGGACTTGTCTGAAACGCGCGCCGCATATATAGGAAATTCTTGGTACGCCTTCGGTTTCTGGGTCTTGTCATTGAATTGTCAATTACGGGAGTCACAGAATTAAAGAGTGGACCGCTTTCGGGCGCATGCGCGCATGTGTAGACACGAGTATGCTTTGCGAGCGCTCTCATAAAGGCTTAAAGCACGACGATCTGCAAGGAAAACCTAATATACGCATAGACAGCCTAGTTCACCTGTTGATCGCTTTAACCGTAGAGACAGAGGAGAGGGCAGTTTTAATGAAACAACATTTTTTTATTAACTCTTTTTACCATGGTTTGCTCTTAGAGAGAGAGGCGTTTTAGAAAGCAGATACCGCTTGCACAACATCATAGATGACATAAAGCCACGATGGATAAACATGCTACCCAGCAAGATTTGATCGTTTCGACCCAAGCAGGTCGCTGGCAAATAACGGATGGTAGCGCTACGTACAACATCCAGGAACACTTCTACCCCTGTGATAGTGAGGTACGGTCACACAGCATCTCAACTTTTGTTGGTCTTGCAATGTGCTGCTTTCAGCACAACAGTCATTGCCGAAAGGATGCATGCGAAGCATGCCCGTGCGCATTTTCATGCAACTGCAACTGTGCACGCCGTCGTCATTTTTGCGTGTCAGGGTGAAGAGTACAGTCAAAATATCAACTCGCTTATAGCCACTATAATGCATTACAGGCCGGCAAACGTTGGATGGGACAAGTGATGGAGGGGTTGAAGTTGTTCTGAATCAGAGAGCATTTCCGAAGAACAATTGGAGGATGACAACGTAATGGACACAGTCGTATTAGAAAATAATGAATGAAGAGGAACCGAGCGCAAGACGACGATCCGCGGATATACATGACAGTTATCGGGACTTACACTAAAGGATTGAAATGGTCAGACATTGGGCACCGGTTTAAACATCAAGTCATGCAGGTTTTAGGAATTCGCAGCGGGACGACTCGCATACTCAGTGGTGTACGCAATCCCACAGAGGAGTCACTTGAAACACTAAAAAAAGCCCTTCATCGTAAGGAAGAATTTGCTGGAAAAACAGTGGCACTAGAGGCGGAACCGGAAAGCAGTCAAACTCTTGTTTGAAGGCCCGAAGTGTTTACAGTTGGGCGCAAGTCCCCAAGCATTCACGCCCATTCGCAAGTTACATAAAGTGAATTTAACGCTCATTGACTTTTAGATTTACCAAGACTCATAATCGAAAGTGGTACATTTCGCACTTCGGCATCTGACAAGTGATTTGCTACTCTCCGAATTCTTTTTTCATATTTCAAACTAGTGTGATTGTAGTACTCGTTTACAAACCAACTCAAATTTTCTTAGGGATCGCATCTACGCAAGAATGGAGAGGAGAAACGTGGACCTCTTCAAGTGTTTCCAGACTATGATGTTGACGATAGAGATACTTGTACCGCATACCTCAGAATGGAGCTCGTTGAGGGCACGGGAGATGTACATTGGATCCAATGTCCAACATGCGACAACTGGTCACATATGCAGTGCATAAATGGAGAATACCCTGGAGACGGGACTGTGTTACTTCCTTAGATCGAAATCCCTCGCCTATAAACCTCACTGCCTTCACGTAACATATCACATCACCACACCATTATACTCCAAGTCTTGAGGAAACATGGTCCTGAAACATGCTCTTGCATTTCGTTCAGCTGATTCACCTAGTAGCTACCATGTATTAGAGCTTGGAAGTTTTCTATGTTTTTGGTCCTCAGATACCATAGCGTCGTACTTGATGCATTGCTCACACATCCTCTCATCTCATCCACTTAGCACAGTATGATGATTAAATGGATACGTTTCGCTTCAAGATGTTCTGCCGCTAATAATTACTTACTCATAAATCCTTGAACAGTGTATCCTAAAGGCTGTAGCCTTTGGTACAAAATGTTACTGTCGTTATGAGTGATTTGTTATGTTTCTTTATCTTTTATCCGTGGACTTTCAGAGTCTGCGAAGTTCATTATCTGTTATGGAATACGTGGTCAACGCTGGATGTGGAATTGGTGGCTTTGAAATCCGTTTGATTTCAAGCATACAGTCCTTGCTTTAGCTATTATGCTTTTATCAAAATTGTTAGAAATCGGATATAACAATTACTTCTCGTATCAGCATGTATTCCATGACAGCTGTCGATAGTCACGTAATGGAGGGGCAATTACCCGCGAGGGGTGTTCGATGTACAACTTCGACTTCGCATGTCGCGATTTCGAACCAGCGGCAGTCGCTGGAAGCCTTGCGATCGACGGTGTGAATCGTAACCTTTGCATACTGCCGGGGCAGGCGGTCCGCAGAATTTTGGGGAGTGTTCTGCCAGCGGGCAGCAATACAAAATTTTCTGCAAGCGCTCGTCAAATAATCTCCTTCAGTGAGCGCTGGCCAACCATTCAGCAAGCGCTCGGACTCTTTTTATGCAGTTTCGGGAGTGCCGAGCAAAGATGAGACTTTATGCTGCAGGGGTGTCATCGATGGTTTAAACCCGAGTCTGGGGTATCTTCTTTCAGCAGAAGGGGCCCTGGGCAGTGCGGTCCTTCACGAAGGACCCGATCCCCAACATTTTTGCATATTCTTGCGGAAAGTCCGCGAGAATGCAGCCATTGCGCCGCAACATCCATAGAAAGACCGCGATAGTTCTCCGAGCGTCTAAAAATTGGCCAAAATTATTTCAGATTTCTGCAAGCGGACAGCAAGAAATCAGCGAACTATTTTTCCGGTGCCCGCTTGCTCAAAATTCGCGTGGCCGCCTGCCCCCGGCGATTATGAGTAGGTTTAGGGAAACGGTTATATCTTTTCTAGAAGAAACGATTTTGAATCAAATCCCTGCTTTACAGAGATGAAGGTTTAGCGATGGCAACGATATAAAAAACACACACACATTCGAATGCTTTGAGGGTTAGTCAGTGGAGTGTGGCGCAATCCCTAAAAGGTCTGGCAGCTACAGCTCTTTTGGGGTTGTGCCACACTCCATTGAACTTGCCTCCAAAAAAAAAAACTTTAGCAAGCAATATATGAAAAATTGCGATAGTTAAAACTTTGTAGTTTCCATAGCAATAATTATAGCTCAATTCGTCTTCCTTAGCTTGAGCACTAGTTGCTGGAAGCACACCCGATGTCAGCGAAAAATGGGACAAATGAGATTTTGCCTGTCTTAAGATTCTATTGTTTGATGTCATTTAGAGCAGGATTTATAATACGGGCAAACAGGGAGTAGTTTGTATTGAGCACAAAAAGGAGTAGGTAATTCACTTTTGAGATGTAGTTAATCACCTTCTCAGACAATCGACGGGACCCCTCCGCCGGACCCTCGGAAACTGCCAGAGTCGCGCCGGACCCAGTTGACCAATGAGAGAAGGGCAAATGGGCGGTCCATCGCGGTGGCATCACTGGCAGGCAAATGGGAGGCTTCTCCGGCCCTGCTGCAAAGGTCCGCCATTTCTCCGGCGCGACTCTGCCAGATTTGACGGACTCCGCGCCGCAGAAATCTGCGCGGCGCGTGTCCGCCAAATTTGGAAGAGCCGCGCCGGAGAAAATGGGAGGGGTCCGGAGCAGAAATGGGAGGCCTCCGGAGCAGAAAATGGGAGGTATCCGGAGCAGAAAATGGGAGGTATCCGGAGCAGAACATGGGAGGTATCCGCCGGAGAAATGGGAGGTATCCGCCGGAGAAATGGGAGGTCTCCGCCGGACAAATGGGAGGGCTCCGCCGGACAAATGGGAGACCCACCGCTGGGGATATGCCGCGACCCTGCCATTTCTCCGGCGGAGGGGTCCTATCCGCTGTCTGAGTTTGAAATGACCACTTCACTTGGGTGGTCCAACTTGAAAGCGCTTAAAATTCGCTGAAACTGCACAGGGGTTATTTGACATGATGATTACGAATATGTTACTAATCATGCTTGATAGAGCCCTTGTGTGATGCCTACGGTAGGCAAACGATAATGCTGGGGAAGGGGGGGGGGGGTCGTATCCGGAGGATGTGCCCACACCTTTGCTCGACCCTGGATATAATTGATAATTTATGATAATTCATGTTCTAGCAACGGGTAAGAAATTCTTCTGTGATTCATGAGGTTGGCACAGTACAGTCGTGTTGAGTGACTGTAGTGAAAGACATTCACTATGTTTCTGGTGATAAGAACGCTCTAAGCTATGATGTAATGATTCTTCGGTTGCAGCCGCTCAGGATTAGTGAGCTCGAAAAAATTTAGGTGCAATTCTGAAAACCAAAAACTGGGATTTTTGAGCTCAAAATTTTGTAACTCACAGAAGCCACAACGAAACAGCCCGACATTCTCAGGATAGAAAGTAGGAAGATCGTGTCGTGAAACAGCAGAATTGCAACAAACAGGCTTCTATAGCTGCGAAAAAATCCAAGTACGACCCAGATACGAACCCTTTTTATTTTTTGTTGTCATACATAAAATTATAAGAAAATTCACAGGTAACGAATTAAGGCCAGATTTTGCATAAAGTAGCAGAGCATTTCTAACAGATAAATTATATGGGCTCATGAACATTACAAAAAGATTCAAAAATTATTGAGGGTCATCGTTGATAGAGATATTCGCTTTTGTTGAGTACGTGAGACTTCAGCAAGGCTTCGGAAGCAGGACCTCTAGGCCGATGGGTATCTACAGCACCTTTATTACACATGCATGCCTGCATAAGTGTTTGAACTCTCAAAACTCTTTTCCTCAACTCCAATACGTTTGTTGTAGCCAATTCCTTTTGAGCAGCAGTCTTAGGCCCCGGTCAGACTTCACGCGACTTAATCGTCGCGATTTAATCGCCAAGATTTCCATTCATTTTCATTTCACATTCAAAAATTTCGGGCTGGAAAAGTATCACAACCGAATGCAAGTTGATCGGCATGAAATGATGTTGTAACAGTTGTCTCCTCGCGATTCAGTCGCGACGATCAAATCGCGTGAAGTCTGCCCGGGGCCTTACGCATTCGCTATTTGACTGGAGGCGAGAGGATTTCAAACCTAAGCAAATAATAAACCAAGTCTAATCATTTAAGAATGTAGCAAATGAAGCGAGCTTCTACACCGACAATTTTTACAAAAAATGTGGTTTAGTCGTTTCATTTCATATATTTGTATACAGCATTCTATGGATTTATTGTAAAGAGCATGTACTAATTCTGCTCTTTTGATTTTCTTTTAAGCATACGATTCAGCAAAACTTCCTCCTCTCACGTCCGCCCGCCCCCCACCGTAAGTGCCCCTATTACGAAACCCATGTGACAGTCGCATCACACGCTTGACCCTGTTTCGAATGGTTTGTCGTGCGATGAGACATAAAGCTTTCTTGAATCAAAAAAGTCCCTGTTTGATGAGCTTTATTTCATAGACCTTTGTACCACTTATTCTCCTTCTTTTTACACCCAGTCGGGCACGATGTAAACTTTTTTCATCATCCGCCTCGGGTTGGTTACCCCCTTCACTTCTCCAAGTCGGTTATAGCCGAAACCCCTTCACTTGGAGGGATCTTACTATCATATCGCATCATCTATGGTGTGAGGCAGTGGCGGACCGAGAGGGGAGGGGGGCAGAGAGTAAGTCGAGTTGAATTACTGGCATGTGGTATAGAGATATGTATGTGACCCGCTTACACTAAAATAGTTAAAATAATTTTTAAAGTTTCAAATAGCCTTGTAAAAAGAATTTCGGGTCCAGGCCGTCGCCAGCCACCTTACTTCAAAATTTTAGGGTCATGAGCAGGGTCCGGCATAGAACGTATGGAAACTAGCTAGATTTCGTTTTTGGGACGAAAAAGCAAAGTGGATATCGTTTTTGTTGCCGAAAAGAAGCAAAAAATTGCGACGTTTTTTAGTTGCCGTTTTGTTTCTAAAGGTTTTTTCTACAGATGTGGTATGAGGTCAAAGGGGACTCCGTAAATTTTAGAGAAATCAAGGGGAACTTCGTTTCCAAAAAGCCTAGAAACGGACTCATGCGGGCCCTGGTTATGGGTCCGCAAAAATCTTGGGAAGCTTCTTAAAAAATTTCAAAGTGCGTGGTAACACGACGCACCTTCGATCAAAAAAATCCCCCCCCCCTCAATCGAACGGAAATACTGGAACCGCCACTGGTGTGAGGCACTCGATGCAAAGAAAGCAAAACTTATGAGTCCACAAATCACTCGCGACAGCGGACTAGCCTTGCAGTTAGTTTCATACACGAATCAAAAGAGCACAAACCTGAGTCTAATCATTTGATTTTGCTCAGCAAAACATATGCTGAGCATATGTTTTTTCTATTTACATATAAACTGTTTGGCGATCTTTTGTCATGGCACAGCCAAAGGTCGAACCCGTTGTTTTACTCGTTAATTGAGTAATCTCTGATACATAATGACATCCATTCAGTATTTCCATGGTTTCGATGACCCCATCAAATAAGATTTATGTGCGTCCACTAATCGGATAAAAGAGAAAAAGGTAAGAGCAAAGGTTATTTGTCCAATGTATTTGAAGTACTGTATATTCGCAGCACTGTTTGTCCTGGTGATTGCCCGTAGGCAGAGCTTCACAGCAGCTGGTAGATCTTAGCTTTTCTCTTTTACTGGAAAAACATCAACTGTTGTTAAGGAACCCTCCAGTGCAAAGGAAAACCAGCTGCAAACCAAGAAGTAGTGCTAAAGTTCACGGATCCGCGTAGGCTTTTGAGGTCTCTTGCCACTCCTTAGAATGCACAATATATTATGTTCAGTTTTGAAAGCTGAAACTGTCGCGAAGGTGAAAACAGGGGCAAATGGAAGCTTCAAAATTGCTGGAGAAAAAAATGATAAAATCACGCACCGAGCTTATGTTTGGGTTGAGCACAAGTGCGATCCGAAAAATCGGGTAGGTTTTTGAGCATCTTGCTGCCCATCCTCATTATGATGAAATTCAGCACATGTAGCACAAGTACGAACTGCATACTGATCAGATCGTAAAGAAAGTTCTCGGGCAGCCCTGGAAATTCTATTCAGGGCCCGGCACGAGTCGGTTTCTAGGGTTTCTGAAAACGAAGTCTCCCCTGACTTTCGGAAGTTTTACGAAGTCCCCTTTGACCAACCTGCTTAGAAGAAGATGAATACAAGAATATAGTCTGAAAGAAAAGACGTAAGATAAGAGTGAAAATCCAAATTGGAGCTGAATACTACGCATGCACAAAACTTTGGCATTAGAGCGCGATATTTAACAAAGCGAGAAGAAATGAATGCAAAAAACAAAGGAAAGGCAATGATATGAACATATCTTTATGCTCAGGGATAGATTTTGGGCCGGGGAATCTGTCCATGCTAAAAAGATCCGAAACTTATGTGAATTGGCAAAAATATATGCTCCAGACGATCTCAGATCGTCTGGTGGCCGTCTGGAGACGATCTAATTTTGGAAAAGGTATTACTTCACATGAGTTTCCAAATCTTTTTACATAATCCTTCTGCAAATAATTTTCTACACATACAGTTCAATTTTCGTGTCATATGCTTCTATGTGCGGTGTAAACAAGCAATTTGTTTATTTGAGCCTTGCTTTCAAATCGCGCGCACTTTTCGCCATACACGATAGAGCATGTCAATCGTGTGATAACCTGTCCGAAAAGCTTGTGATCGACAAAATGGCGCTTATTCTTGGTGCTCTATTCCTACTCGTCAAAAACGATATCTCCTTTGCTGTTTGCTTCAATAACGAAGTCCAGCCTGCTTCCAGACGATCTGTGCCGGGCCCTGATTCTATTTTCGAACTCTTTTTATCGCATTCGTAGCATGTAGTTTCGAATCTGCTTCTAGTTCCTACCAATGTCAAAACAGGTTTCACCTACATACCGAAGTAATCTTTGCAGCTGTGGGAATTTCACCATTCTTCTTCTTGCTGCCAGTTTTCCGCACTGAAAAAGAATCATTCAAATTTTGAATAATTTGAGTGGGGAGACTATCTACTTCAAGCACCCTTACGTTCGAAATTTGCGATTCGCGCAAAAAAAGCTGTCAAACTTGCCACTGGCTGGATCTCTTCTCGCAGTTGGCGTTGATTCTGTGAGGATCGCTACGCCCGGATGATGGGTTCAAAAGATATGTGCAAGACATTACCAAACCAACCAATATTTGCATTGTTCAAAAACTTGGCTCATTTCGTGCAAAAACGGAAGACTCCAAATCACAGAAAAAAATGGGACCTTTTAAGATGCAGAAAGCAGCCAACTTTCCAAATTTTTGGAAAAAAATTTTGCAGGTATCCCTTGAAGTTCCGGCTCAACCTATCGATAGCCCCAGTGAAGTTCTATACTACAACAGAGCCCTTAGCGCTTTGCGTGGCTGAGAAAATTCTGCCGGAACAGGCCAAATCTCGAAGTGACTTTTTTCCCTTCTGCGCATGCTGGTGGCCCGAAACGAAGTTCTGAGGACTCATAAAATAAGCGTACCTTGTAGACAACATTGTCTTTACATCAAAATCTGCAGATTTCAAGACCAATCTGCTAAAGTTATAGCAGTTTGTAAAAAAAATTTTCGCACTTTCCTGAGAACTTTCTTTGCAACCTAGTATTTGACAAGAAACAAACTAATAATGATTTATTTAGTTAGCAGTAGCGTACATGTGCTTTATATCCAAACAACCTGCTTATTTTCAAATCTTTGGGCTTGAACAAAATCCTGCTAAACAACAATCAGAAATTTGGAGTTGTTAGGCCAAACTACCATTATTCACAATTTTTAGTCTTGCCTTGTTAAGGGTAACAGTTAAAATGCTTCCAAAGGTCTTCGGTAGAGGACAAGAGGTCGCCAGTAGTCTCCATCCCCGCAGACTCCTATGACAGCTGTACATAATAGAGAGGAGTGCGCGTTTGTTGCGGATGCTCGCGCAGAACCACCACTTTCGGCGACCTGATTCTCTCTGGCCGAAAGTCTCTATAGTACTGTTTTGAAAGCCGCTGTATTGCGAAATCAATTGCGTATAAGTGAGGTGTGATATAATGATACGAACACCCGCGCATCTGAGATTTCCGGAACTCTGGGAAGGAAAAAACCATTGCTGCCAGAGTATACCCGAAAATGGTACATGCAGCACAAGATTGAAATTCAATGTCAGTCTTAGGTATATATTATGCCCCAAGCAAACTCAAAGCTGTTTTGAATATAAGAACGCCTCAAGCAAAGACCATTTTCGCTCAACGAATCTCACGCAAAAATTTTTTGGAAAGTTAAGCGACAATTTGAAATGTCTGTAACACTCTAAATCCACTGCTGTTCAAAGAGAGGACCACTTACACTTCTCTCATCCCTTGAAATGCTTTTGAATTTAGTGCGCTGCAAAAACGTCTGCTTCCTGTGGTTTGAAAACCCTAATCAGCTTCTAATATGGCTTCGGGGTGAAAGATGTGATCTTTAGAGCCTAAAAATGCCTCTACACTCTTTGCATTTTCACGCGAACTCCATGCACCCTGGATTAGCACACTTTTTGATTCAAAACTAGCTTCCGCTTCCCTTTGATTCAAAACTCAGCTTCTGCCTCCCCAATACAATAAGGCATGTGCACTGCTTGTATGAAGATGTATTCGTGTAAAATTTTTGGGTTCTTTGCTGAGCTAACGAGGTTTTAGAGTAAAAGCAGATTTTTAAATGATTGCATCAATATACGCGGTTATTCTGAGTGGTTGAAACCTGCTTAACTGATGCTCAGGATTGCGGAACTATAGCCAATCCCATTCTCCCATCCCTTGAAATGCTTTTGAATTTACGAGCTTGTGCACACTGAATGCAACCTCATCGTAGGAGTTAACAGAAGTTTTGTGGCTCAAAATTGTGCCAACTCCGGAGAAAGGTAGAAATCTCTTCAAGAAACGCAACGAGTACGCATGGTTATTCAAGTGTTAGGGACCCGTCATACTTCACCCAAAAACGCCGAAATGCCTCTAGAAGCGCCCAAAGCGCTGAAAAGCGCGCGAAAGCTCCCAAAAAACACCGGAAATCGCCAGAACGCTTTGCGCTACTCTTCGCGCTATAGCCTAAGTTTGAAGATTAGTAAGTTCAGCAGTATTACTACCTAATAGTTCGATTGAGTCAACCCGTGGTTTCAAAGACTTGAAAATGAAAAGCCTTATGACGTCAGATGCACTACAAGTGCCGAATCTGTGCACCCCTTCCAGCGTTTACAGGAATAGCCTGGTATCCTGAATTAAGCAAAAAGGGTTCGGACTACTTGTGAATCGCTTGAGTCACGTTAGGTGAAACTTGAGTTGGCGTTGACCGCTATTGAATATCATGTAAAGGTAATAATCTATTCGTTTCGATACTGAGCAATGTTTTGCAAACCAAGCTCCAGTCAAAAGTTGCCATAATGAAAGGAATGTTCTGGGGCTTTCCAGGCGTTTTTGAGCGCTTCTGGGTAAAGTAGGACCGGTCCCGTGAAGGCAGTGGCTCGGGATACAACTGTGTGCTTTCCATCCCTCCTTGGCCTTCTGAATGGTCCGTAGCTAAAAAGTGCTTTTTATAAAAAATGCTTTTTATGGCGCTTTTCTGCCTTGGAGGTAGGTGGAGGGGCTGGACGAATAATCCCCGCTAAGTGAGGCGCGATTGGTGCCTGAGCTAATCACCAATCGTCGCCAATGGATGGAGTTACAGTCTCCCGCAGCCAGTCGCCGTATTTGGCGAGAATCTCTCCTCCAGCCTCTTCAGCAAGCCCAAAGCCAGAAAATGCCAAAAAGCACTTTATTGACTTTGCAAGCGCAGTCAGGACTCATCGGACCCAGAAAACCATGTAGCTATGAAAAGCTTGCATTTGCAATTTTCACGAGCCACTGTCTTCATTCAAGCAGGCACATCAATAAAGAAAGCTTGGATCTCAAAGTCTGTTGCAAGCTGATTAGACTCTTCAAATCCCAGAAAAACTAGCTTTTTATAAGCTCACTGAATCCAAAATCATTTTCAGAGAGTAACGCTCATCTTTGTGTGGTAGGTTCAGCGTGTCGCAGATATCTCGAACGTGGTTAGTGTAACTTTATGAAGAATTTTGAATTCAAAGGATTGCAGTTTTGGGTAGAGACTTTGCTTGAGGTGTTCGCACGATCATAAAAAGTGTTGAATTCAGGGCGGAATTCTTTTTTGAAATCGACGCCATTTCCAAACTTCTATGTTGAGTTTATCCTTTCGACAAGCTCTTTCGCATGGGTCAATGGTTTGAGCTCCTTCTAAAAGTCCCTCAAAACTCTTGAGATGTTGGGTGTCCTATGATTATTGGCCGTAGTTTACCCTTCCAAGCCTTTTCAATGTGGAAAAATGACAATTTAAACGTGTTTCGGTTTGTTCGCATAATCATAAAAAGCGTTGAACTTAGGGCGGAATTCTTCTTTGAAATCGACGCCATTTCCAAATTTCTATGTTGGGTTTACCCTTTCGGCAAGCTCTTTCACATGGGTCAATGGTTTGAGTTCCTTCTAAAAGTCCCTCAAAACCCTTAAGATAACGGGTCTCATAATCACCGAGGTAATTCTGCGAACAGGGATCTTTAGCTTCAAAGGCAGTGTCCGGGCAGAATGGGGGTTTCAAGATTGCAGTGCCGTGCGAAAGTGCCCCCAACCCCTTAGACACAACATGGCGCAAGTGCGAGGTCACAACGACCGACCTAAAGCGAGAAAAACGGCCGGAAAGTGGGGAAACTTACGCCTCGGGGCGGGGTCCTCCGACCTGTTCGAGTTCCTGCTATGGCAGAGGACGCATGCCGCCACAGTCAAAATCGTAGGGTCTCGCAAGAACTCTGCGTCTCAGCCTTGGCGGGGACCGTCGAATTTCAAATTGTAAGGTTTTGGAAAACGCATGTTCTCGCCATTTTCGTGCCCTCTAATGTGGATTTTCGGATTTAGCATTGCGGATAACCCCCGGTAAATGGATTTTCCAGAAAACGAGTTTTTGCTCGGACACTGCCTTTAATATAGTTGAACATATCAGGTTGTCCCATAAGTTCAGTTAGTTCGGTTCAACCGCCATAAGTCATAAACTTCTCATTTATTGATAGGTTGCAAAGTACCGTTCGATAGAGCAAAGCAAGCTCTATAAAAAGGTGGTCTTGCTTTTGCACCAGCTTTGATCCGCCTCGAGTCTCAAGCCAAGAACTAAAACTTTTTTCACTGCCCGAAAAATCGAGAAAAAATCGTTGTTTCGTCCACAAAAATTCTACAAAAATTCTGGCCCGCTTATGTAAACACTGTCCACATAAGACGTTTATTACGCCGTTTCCGCATTTTCCCCCTCGATTATAAATCAAAAAACGAAGATTTTCTAAAGTGATGCTGTGCTGTCCCCAGCAAGTAATTGTATACTACCAGCCTGTAGAAGTACAAACACAATTTTCCAGCTCTCCACAAACGGTAGTTTTCGAGAAACACCGAACATAGGTTGCTTAGTCAGGTGATTTACGCTAAACCCCATATTCCTCGAAAAATAGAGCTTGTGGAGGGCTGAAAGTTTATGTTTGTACTTCTAAAGCGCTAGTAGTATACAACTATTTTGCGGGAACAGCACAGCATCACTTTAGATGAAAGCTTTAGAAAGCTTTCGTTTTCTTGCTTTGCTTAGGGAGAAAATACGGGAACGGCGTATATGAATGTCTTATTTAGATAGTGTTAACGTGAGCAAGTTAGAATTTTTGCAGGAGTTTTGTGGGCGGAGTTAGGATTATATCTCGGTTTTTCTGGCAGTGGAATCGTTTTAGCTTTTGGATCGAAAGTCGAGGTGGATCAAAGCTGGTGTAAAAGTAAGACAGCATTTCGTAGAGCTTGCCTTGCTCTAACCAATGTCGCTTTGCAACCTATTTAGAAATGAGAAGTGTAACTTATTGCGGCTGAAATTCAAAACGGACGGAACTTATGGGACAACCTGATAGAAAAAAGCTAAAAAGTAAACATTGTCATACGGTTTTTTTATTTTGCTCTGTTTACATATTTACTATTCGACGTTGCTTTCTTTAGATAATTATTCTTCATGAAAGTTCAAAAGAATTATCAAGAGCATTTCTATCCATATAAGAGGCTCGGTAAGTTTCTCAACATATTTTCCCCTCACGTTGCCCTGAAAGCAAGTTGAACTATTTATAAGATGGTGATTATATGCAAGAATTACAGCCCAACTGCAACGTGATGGCCTACTTCCCCATTCCGTATAGACAGAGTGGCAAAACGTTCAACGTTGGGAAGAAAGAATTGTCGAAGGCGGTATACTACAACAGCTGCGACGATATAGACGCATAAAAAGGAGCTTATCTGACGTCATTAGGTAAAATAAACGCAATTGATTGAACGTCTCCTTAAACAGGACATGTTTTAACTTTACGATTTATCCTCAATAACGGAGCAACAGAGAGCTGTGATATTTAAGCATCTTATTCAGGACTATCGCAGCAAAACATGTGTGTTGAGCTTGTACAATGAATCCAAAATGCGAATCCTCTAGTGACTAGCTCAACAAGATTATTTCTACGAAGTTGGCAGCTTGAAAATGGGAAAATATTCGGGAAGCGCCAAATTTCTCCCTTGTAAGCATACATCTTCAGTTTTTTTTTTTCATTTTATGAAGGCTATGTAACGACAGAAAGAAATTGAAGCTTAGGCACATAGCGCATTTGACGGCTGTTTCTAATTGATCACTTTCTGGCAGTACGTCACTTAGTCGTATGCTATCTTTATGTAGTACTAGCTGACAAACCCGGCTTCGCCCTATCAATAGCATGGTCGTAATCAGCATGCCCACTTAGCCCCTGTGCCAACTCCCGGCCCCGTAGCACAAACTTTAAAGAGTAGCCTACAACACGCTCCGCCGCGAAGTATATGTGCGCCAAGTTTAGTCCGGATCGGTTCGGTGAAAATTTCAATTCACATACGTACATACAGACATTCAGCTTCATATGAAAGCCTCAAAGAGGAGAAATAGAGTAAATGAATTCAGACAAGTTTTTAACGTATGGCGTATGGCTCGCTCGGGCCGTTGGTCTGAGCGCCTAATGCGAAGGGTACAAAATCGTTCCCAAAGCGTCCAACTTATCCTTCCTAAATTTTCAATGTTCCACTCTTCTTCTTGGCAAGTTCTTCTTTTCTTCTTTCATACTCTAGGCCTGCGCCTCTCGTTCCTCTGGCTCCTACACTGACTTGTAATTCATCCTAGATGCATCGTTTGCAACATCGCATCCCCCTCACCGCAAAATGAAAATGAGCTTCTCCATTCGTGATTACACGGATATCGGAAAATGCGTGGTCAAAACATGATGAGCTTCCATTTCCATAGAGAGTAACAGATCAATAAATCGATAGCACCAGCGAGATCCAGTGAAAAGTAGCCTAAAACCGTCTCCGGGATCGAAAATATCTGTGTGCAAACTTTCAGCCCGAACGGTTGAGCGACGCACCTTTCTATAATGCATGTACCTTCCAAACAGACAAATTTTGAGTTTTATATATATGTGGAGATAACAGTGCAGTCCTTACCCAAAGGAAAGGTGAATGGTATTCCTTCAATAGAAAATTTTCTAAAAAGTACCAGGTCCTGAACGTCTATACAGAGTTCGCCAATACTGACCAGTATTGCTTCCAAGAGATGCGACGCTGATTTAGGCTGACTAAGGCGGCGTTTCGCGGTTAATATCACCAGCCACGGTCTTTCATGCAGCTAATGCCAGTACTTTCCTTTCTCCGATTTAGAGTAGCTTACAGAATTTATTAGTGACAAATTATATAAAAATTGCTCTAAACATCATGGCAGGAGTGACACTAGCGGCAGACAGTGAAATAAGATCGCATTTGCTGCTTGCATTCTCATTACCTATTCAATACAGCACATAAAAGTAGCACATAGTAATAACGTCGAAAGTACGGAAAGTGAAAGATTCGAGCAATGAGCAAGCTCTCACAACATTTAGCACAGAATTATGTATAAATAGATCGTAGGCAAACCGAGAGCATCCTCAGATGAACCAGTTTCGGCAGTATGGAGTGGTGGGAAGGTAGCAAGGGCGCTACAAATGCACTGATATTTTTACCCTTTTTCTCCTAGTACTGATAGCCATTATGCTGCGGAGGGCTGATGGTGCGGTGATACGATTCCGTAGTAGTCGTTACCTAAAAAAGAATCAGGCTCATTCAAGCTCGATATGGCAAAATCGGCCTACTCCGGATCCGTAGACGGAGAGGATGGGAAAGAAAACTTGGGCATGGAGGTCGAATGATCATTTAAAATTCAAAAACTCAATAAAATGATTAAAACATCTTTAAGAAGGACCATTGTGAAGGTTAAATTCATGATAATTCTATGCTATAATAGTGAGTAAGATTTCTGACCGGTGGAAGTTTGCGTTAATTCACTTCCAAAAATAAGCCGTGTGTATCAAAGGCAGCGGCTCGGTAGATCGGCGACTTTGAAATATTCACTGTTCTCGGTTCGTTTGGACGAGCATCGCAAACTGTGCCAGGTACAAATGATATCAATAATTCCTTTTCCATACGTGATTGCTTTTTGGGCGGGAGGCGAAGGCCCGCCCTCTAGAGAGCAATTGGCTCGTGGAGTCTGATTGGGTGGAGACCCGTACTCATCTCGGCGGCAAATGGAGTACTGGATTTAGCAGCCAATGGTTCTACGAAGGGGCGGGCTTTCGTTACCCCCGCCCAAACAGCATTTTCCAAGGAGTAAAGGATAACAGGCCGCCAAAAGAGGAGGTTCCGCGCGGACATCTGTGATAAACCACGCAACTTCACCGTTGCTGCCGCATGCTAGCTTTCCGCATGGGTGGAGCCTATCGGCGACCTAATGTCCTTCCTCCACCCCTTTCCACGTCCGGAAAAGCGAGTTATCGATATCTGCAAAAGCTGCCATGCACAGCGTCACACTCAGCTCATCCAGGGGAGTCATGGATGAATACCCAAATTTGTCATTTTGCCGGCTCCCCCGCCTTCAAAATAGAAAATTTCCAGTTCTTTCTTCTACCTTTACGTTTCAAATTTGCGAATCCAAGGTAAACTTTAAAGTTCGTGCAAATACCAATCTTTTTCGTTACACTTAGGTAAAGTTGAGGAAAAATGCTGCGTGATTTCTCAACTTACCTCATACTGTCGATCCTGGCTTTTACGAAGACGTGGCATCGTTTCAGTCTGTGGTACGTCTTCCTCATACATTCTGCAAATGAAAGTTGAGATAGTAGAAGAACCGTGCAACCAAAATGGTGAATAGGGAAAGCAAGTCAGTAAGCTGCGGAAGCAGGAGAAATGTCCGGACCACTTTGAACCACACAAGCAGAAGATCAATTGCCAACATTCATTAATGTAACTTTTCTAAAGCAAAACGAAACAGAGCACAACTGCTGCATACGGAAAAGCGAATACTTTGGTTTCGCAGTTCAGATTTCGATTCCTGTTTGGACTTACAGCATTTTGCTCTAAAATAAAAAAACGACGACTACCAAAGTGAAGTTTTTGGAAATAATAAAAGGTAATAACTGCTAGAAGCCCCGGCTCCGCCCAAATAGATTTACGGGAGGCAGCGGCTTGAAGGGGAGTGAGGAGACTCTCTAATACAGCGTGCGCCAAAAATGTAAAAATTGTTTGATCGACAATAACTTTCTTGCTTTGATGTCTTTCACCAATCTTTAGGTACCATTCTGTAGAGCTGGTTACAACTTAGATCTTCAGTATGGCGAATCACCGATCGCTTCCATTACTGTAAGATTATGGTTGGACTTTCCAGCATACGAAACCATTGAGGGATAGGTCAGCAAAATTTTTCTAGAGAAAGCTCAAAGAATCGTATAGCAGGTTTTAACGCATTCTGTATCAATACACAACTTTTAAGAGCTTTTGAGCTTTTCAGTGGTGGTTTACATTTCCAGCGAGCATTGGAAAAAACAGCTACGGATTAAAGGGAATAACAGTGGAAAGAAGCATCAGTAAGGTGCACATTCCATATTAGAAATTATGGACTTTAAATTAGCCTAGAGAAAGAGTTTTTTGGTCTCTTTTCGAGACTTAGTTCTCAAAGGCCTTAAATCTCCTTGCAGTTCTTACCGTATTCCAGAGCAATTAGAAGCGATCGGTGATTCACTTCATTCTGCAACTGTTGAATCCAGTTCTAAGAATGATACATACGGTACGGCGAAAGACATTGAAGTGAAAGAGTTATTGACGATGGTACAATGTGCACATTTTTAAGGCACTCTTTATGGCAATGAGTGAGAAAAAACTCAGCCAACAAAAATTTACGTAACTGGCGGCTACTGTGCGTTCGAAATCTTCTGCGCTACTGTGTCAGTTTAAACAGACAGAATGGCATTCTTAGTTTCTGCTTGTCCAATTCTCCATGCGCAGTGGGTGGTTCCACTAAGCATGGATTCACCCCAAACTCTTAACTTTGGTGCGCGTCATCTTCACGTCTAAATGAGATGATTCCACCGCTACTGTTTCCATGAAATGGTAAGCGATTTGATGGGGCGTGTAAAGGGCCGGGCATATATCACGCGCTTCGGTCACCTCGCTATTATGTATTCCGACAAGACAACTGTTATGAGTTCATTTCATGTCAATCATCTTCGGTTGTGGTAATTACTCGCGCTTAGTGGTGAGAGAGAACTATCACAGCCAAAATGCGAGAAGATTGGCATGAAATAAACTCGTAACAGTTGTCTTGTTGAAAATCGCGAGGCGGTAAAATCGCGTCAAGTATGCCGAGGCCTTAGAGCACATGAGGAAGCTGCAAAGAGCAGCCTACGGCCGCCGGGGTCGAAAATACAAGCCTAAAAATTTCAACTTAATCTGTTTACTTACAAAGTCCATAAAGAAACAAGCGCACTGCCTCATGTTCATAAAGCTGTCATAAGTAAGCATTTTTGCTGCGATTTATGTCCAAAAACAATACGTTTGGCATTGTACGCGATGCACCTGATTGTCAAAAGAGGAAGAGGAAGAGAACGAAAACCTGCGATCGATGAGAAGTTTATAATCCAAAATCCAAACCGAAGCGGTTCTTTATCAATCAATTAATTAACGATCAGTGTTCCGATTTAGTGTCCCAAAAATCAGTAAAGATAAGAATTATAGGCAATGGATGTAAACATGCCGCTCAGTCAACAGAAATTTGCTAATCATTTTCTCAATTTTTAACTCGAACTTTCCATAGACTTGTCGAGTAGTTTCGCAAACAAGCACATCTCAAAATATGTTAGGCTAAAACTCACACATACTCCTCCCTCACTGACGGCGCTTGAACTCTTGGTAGACGGAACCAGGAGAAGAACGGCGAAACTCGTTCTTCAATCACAGGAGTCTTTTCTACGACCACATGATAAACTTCTTGGAAGCACAGAACACAGTAGCACTAAAAAAGATACACTAGATCGTTCAAACGATCAAAGATCTACGTTGAACCTACCAGGAAGAAAGCTATAAGAAATCCGATCAACCATCCAACCCAGATGTCTCGCCAATGATTTTTGTAGCCATTGATGCGAGAAAATGAATCGACTATGGCAAGACCGATAAAACCAAAAATGAGGAATGGACGTAGTAGTGGAGCACCGCGAAGATTGATCATATAGTAGATGTAACACTGCAAAATTTCTGTAGATGCTGAGAAATAACATCTCTACTTCGTTCAGCATGCATGGAAAATAATCGACATCAGAAAAGGCAAAAAAGCAAAGGAATGGAAAAAGGGCTAGTTACGGAGAGTAGCCCCATGGATGAAGTAAATTGTTTTCTTTTTCAATTTTCGAAGAAAATTTAGCAAAACGTTTTCGCTGTTGCATGTAAAGTCAAAATGAATGCCATGAGCCAGTGTGTACTTTTCGAGCAGCTATAGAACGAAATCTAGATTTTGTCAGTAGAATACACGTTCAATTAGAAAGCTTTATGGAGTATTATAATTGGTCTATCTTTTCTTACATTTTGACTAGGTTCTCAGTTTTCAAAACGATATTTATGGAAGTGGCGGGGTTCATCCCCGTTTTTCACATCATTCAACGTCATTTTCATAAATTCTGACATTTAGTTTTTGGTAATAAGGAACCATGAGATTATGATAAGTACTTGATTGTAACAAAAGGTTACCGAATCATCAGAGAAGAGCTGCTGGAGACTTACAGAAGCAAAAATGGCCGAATAACTGGAGAATGCCGCATGAAGTGAAGGAAACGTAAGCCATGCATATCGCAGTTCATCAGCTCCTCGAAAGTTGCATGCCAAGTTTGGCGAAGGGGACGGCGAGTGCTCCAGCGGAGCTGTGCAGGCGCTGAAGTTACATCAATATTTAGAAAGGCTGCTGTCTGAAGGCTGCATCCAGAGTTATCGTGCCAGCGTCATTCCAGCGCCATGCTAACGTCGTGCCACAACTGTGCCGGAGAGTCCATCGATTGCTCGCTACGTATAGGTGGGTGCTGCCACACGGGTAACTCTGAATGCAGGCTAAGAAATTTACTCACCTAATAGATACGTTGCATAACGAAAGGAAATATGGTCGTTGATAACCCGTCATCAATTTGATCGTGTCGACGAAGATTTGGGTTACAAGAGCTCCACAAAGGAAAACGGCTGCAAGATTAATTTCATGGAAAGAACTGGCTATGAAAGAATAGAAAATTAAGTGGCAGGGAAAATATTATATCAAAATTAATCATAAGGAGTCCCCACCAATAAATCGTAGAAGCCTTCTTGTAAACAAGTGCACCTTGCACTCGCCACAGTTCGCATAAACAGTCTTGCGCGGTTTTGTAGAAAACAACCAGAACATCACTTCGCCAATAAACATCTGCAATGCGCTTATGTAATGGACTTTCTTTTACCAAAATAAGTTTATTAGAAATATAATATATACTATAATCATATACATAAAATGCGTAAGATTCAAGAATTCATTTCCTTAGCTAAGAAATCCGAAGCAAACTTCAGAACTTCTGCTAGTTTCTCGTATTTTATCCTGGTGAACCTAAGTACAAGGAGTGTTAAAAGTGATGGCCAATTCTTTTTCATGTCATATTTACGGCAGAAATATAAAAAATATAATACCTCAGAATCGCAGAAACTGAGGTCAATTTCAATTGTTAGGAATCGTTTTCGCTAAGAAGTTGCCACATTTTGGCTACCTCTTTTTTACTAATTAATGGACCCATATTTTCGTAGTATGTCAATATGTCAAAAGCGTATGATCATGGAAGATTTTATTTATTTATTTATTTATTTAAGATGAAAATTAGTATTACCAAAACCCTATTTAGGCCTCAGTTTTGTAGAAATCATCATTCTCATGTAAGCTTGAGAGGGCGGGGGTGGAAAGGGAAAGACGGGATGGGCTTGGGTAGCTCATTTCGTAGGGTTTGCCTCACTCTATCCAGAATTCAATTGTTCCGATTTGAATCACATCGCCACGAAAACGGCAGAGAGCAATGACCAGGAGCTTTACTTTCAATATTTTCATATCATTTCAAGATAGAGCGGGTTCACGTTGTACCTAGGAAAGGACATGTATGCTGGGAAACAACGTAATTAACGAAATCATTTTAGTGGTCTTCACGTAAAACTTTAAATCATTCCATTTTCCCAATTTTCTACGGTTTCCCATTGAGAACTCCTGCACAACGGATGCGGAATTCTCTTACTTCTCACGAAAAAACACCCGAGACTTTCCTCTTCATTCGAAAATTACGACATTTTTCCGGAAACGGGTCGTAACCAGACTCCCACACAGATTCGAAAAAATGCACAGTCCTGTGCTCGCCCCTTACTCCAAAACCATCATCGTCTATTCCAGCTTCTAAGGTTTACCCGGCAGATTAACGATACGAGCTATGAGTAAACGTACTTTCTGCAAACCAGACTCTCTTATTCGATTCCTGGCTAATGCAGGCATGTTCCGCATTCTGAGGCGAAATCGCCTAATCTCTGAACAAGCGAGCCAGCGCAATCGCTTACACCGGACACTCCTAGCAGCTCGTACGCAAATACCGAAAGCGTCCGTACGAGCATTACGCAGCGCAATCACGACGAAAAATGCGCTTGCACCCCACACGTTCCGCGCAAGGAGCATCTCTGTGATGTTCTTGTTCCGGAATCACATCGGATTCGATCAGACCGGAATAGGATACATTACAGGGGCTCAAACAAAGAGTGCTTGAGCTTGTGCTGTTTCGGCTCCCAAAGCAAACACCTAGATCTGCACTCTTTCATTGATCGAAACTGCTACAATACACTTTAATTCCAAAAATTATCAGAATCAGATTAACACGTTGACGACCACGCAGAATTCCAAATGTCTGCTTCCTGGGACCAAGGACGGACCAGCCCACATTTTTCAATATAATTGCGCATACTGCCATCTACAGTACACTTACAATAGATCTGAAAGACTGACAAAAAAGGTAGAGGTCATTCCTAGCTTAAGTGCAAAACAAAGCTCGTGGAGTGAGTTCATCCCAGGATAGTAGTCATTTTAACAAAATTCGAGCCTTGACACACATGGTGTGTCAAGCGGTCCCATAGTCACACCATGTGTATCAAGCGGTCCTCAATGTGTTAATGCAATTCATATTCCAAAAAATTACGTTTGATTTTTTTTTAAATTCCTAGGAAAGCTACTTTTATACTTCTACACTGCCTATGTTGGCCAATGAACACTAGGTTGAAACATGAGGCTTTGTTACACTCTCTTTGTCTTCCTCGGAAAACTCGAAAATGGTCTCATATTTACATGTATAGAGAAGGGGTAAAAAGCTACTCGCTCCTTCATTATGCCGTCTCGAAATGACTTACAGTGAATAGAAAGGCGACTATACATGGGCGCTCTAGCCTCCATTTTTTTCTTTATTTTTTGAAAACTCTCTTATTCTCCTTCTCCGTAATTTAGATTTTTCATGAAGTTCTGGGAGCATTCTCACTAAGAGGCAATTTGGAACTTTGAGCTCATCAAAAACGAAGACTAGAAATTTGCCAAAAATAATTCGGAAAAATTTCAAAATCGAAATTTGATTTGTGTGACATGCGTGATGTGTTTATCAAGGGTTGCAATACTACACATAGTCCGGATATAGGGGAAAATCATTCCATAAAGTTAAGAGAATTTTTTCAGTTGAGTGTAACAGAAATGTAACCAATAAATAATTTCGTTTACTTTGGCTCGTGAAAATGTTGCAGACAAAGTCGTTATATTTTTGATATCTCTATAAGGTGTCTTGATGAGAATCGAAAGGTAAAATGTTTTTTCAAAGAAGGGCACAAGAAAGTAAGATACCTTCGATATTTTCGTGAAATGAAGTTTGAGAAAGCTTCACATTCCATATTACAAAAATTTCAAAACAGCAGATCACTTTTCCTTTGAATAGAAAACCTAAGTGCATCCAATCAATCCATTCGCATGTATACCACGACAAATTGAAACTTCATAAAGTTGAAAAAACTAAGTTCTTTAAAGTTTATCGTTTTGAAAGTAGTGCCCTTCATCACTTAGAAACACTATCGAAATGATATGGGCTAGTAAAAGCTCGAAACTGCCGTTTGGTAAAAAAAATTGATTGCAGCTAGTCATGAATGAGCTGATTTTTTCAGAAAATCTAGCAAAACGTAACACTTTGCCAGCTATTTGTTCACACTTTTCCAGAGATAACAAGTGCTTGATTCTACCCTACGTTCGTTTTTCAATGGACAAGTTAGGTCACCAGGGAATTCGAACAAAGCAGATTGCTCGTCTATCGCAACCCATATAAAAAGCGGTGAATAAGCGATGTAGCCCATCCTCCGCTACATTTGCTTCAAATTGTTGTACCGTAATTTCACGTGTACAAGGCGCGGGGGATTTTTTTCCAAAATCGACCAGCCCAAATACGCCAAACTTCGCAACCAAAGGACCCTATGCCTTGCTGTATATTGCTTAAGAGAATCGTACGGCATAAGGATCGTTTTCCGAAAAATTTAAAGCGGCTGAGGGGCTTAGTCGAAAAATCGAAAAAGGTGCGCCTTGTACGCGTGAAATTAGGGTAATTTTTTTAAACCAAAAGTAGCTTTTGCGGGATACCATCCCGCTCTAGCTATGACAAAAGAAATGCGGGTCTTTATACATAGAATAGTTTTGTAAGTCTGCAACTGCGCTAAAAAAATTTCTGGTCACACAATTAGCACTGTAGCATAAAGTGAAATTATTCAATGAGTTTCCTCCCAGTTTGTAAAGTTTTGCAATCATCATTCAGAATCTGATGTTACTTACAAAGAGTAAAGGTGAGTAAAGCTATGACACTATTCTGACACTCACCACTAGTGGTGGTAATGTGAATCCTAACGAGTAGAGCAACGGATACGATACGTAGACGTTGAAATCCTCCGGTACATAGTTTGGTTTGTAGAGATGCACGTCTCGACAGTAGAACACACGATGGTGGTATGGGAACACGGTGGTGAACCTGTAATTCGACACTCTGTAGACGCACTTGTTTTTTCCTTTTGCGCTGCACCTCTCGGTTTCTGTTTTGGATTTTTGCGAAACCCGAACTAGTCAGTGCTTTATGACAACATCTCATTGATATTATTAGGTTGGCTAAAAGATAATTTCATTTTTCACGCATTTTTATCTATGACTTTTCGAGGGGAAGTAGTTCAAACTTCTATTATCGTATATCAACCACTCAGAGTTTTTTATCATCAGGATGGTTATGCTCCAATGCGTCCAAATTCAAGAGCTTGGTTCTTCGACTTCCTGAGCTTCGTTTTCATACTGTGATGGTATATGGAGACAACTAAGCGTTTTCTAATTCAGCAAGTAACAATAAAAGTCGTGATCTGCCACTTTGGAAATCTCTGATCGAAAAAAGAAATGTTCTCACATAGCGCACAATGTGAAAATGCGTCACTTCTTTGGGTCTTTTTTCGAAAGGAGATGACGTCACATCGGACAACGCTTATATTTGTATTTTAATTGGAGTGCTTTTTCGAGAGACTTTCCTCAGTCCAAATACTGGACCAAATTTTGCCTGCAGCATTCGTAGGAGCCGGAACGTCAACTCAACATAGCATGCGCTAAAAATTGCGTAAACCTCAGCAGTTGTTCCGTAACTCTCCTTCTCTAATTCCAGGCGAGTAAAAATTAATTAATATTACATAGAGTGTATTCTAAGTCTTCGTGAAGTGAGCAGCTGCAAATTATGCAAAATATCGTAATCCTCAATTTGAGATGACGATATCAAACATAAGACTATTGTATAAGACAGTGTACCTTTCTTGAGACTCTTTGATTGAAGACGCATAAGCAAATAAAATCAAAAGAGAAGAGAGCTTTTAGGTGTCTCCAATCTACGATTTAGGATTATTTTGATTATGCTTACCTAACTCAAAGGAAGTTGTGCAAAGAGAGCAATGAAGAACAACATTCCTAACGAATTCTGCGAGCTAGATGGTTCATACTGCTTCGTCAGAAAAGGTAATTCAGAGTACAACGTACAGAGCCTAACAGTTTCGACAGAACATAAAGACCGCGAAAATTGACGATAAAAACTCGTAAATCCCAATTCATTCAGCAAAATTTTCAATGTGGAAATTTAGGCGGTTCAATCGCTCTGATACCATCATGTAATTTTTGAGATACGGGCAATTCTGGTCACCTGAACACTTGTGTGACCACTGATTAAGACGCTTTGCACAATTCATTGCCAAAGCGGTATCTACTATGATTTTGTGAGAGAAAAATTCAGTCATAGTTGTAGCACAGTGTTGAGAACGTTGGAGGTATGGTCTTTATTCAGAGCTTTTTCCACTGGAATGAATAAATCACATGAGCTGCTGCTTAGGTGGCTTAGCTCTCAATTAATCAATATAAGAGATATCTATATTCGTCTGGATAGCGCCTTTAAGTCATAAAACTAGGAGACTACTTGAAAACCTATATTGTACAGTCTGTCACAATCGGGATCAGGCCGAACCGTTTCGCAGCGCTAGAGCTTGCGCTGCATATGCGAACTGTCGAAGACCAGCAAGCCGCACTCGTGATGCAGAATCGTAGCGATGCGGATTTCCGCCAAGCCAATGGCCTGATTGGGATTGGGACACACTGTATTTCAAATAGTGAGTAATTTTCTACGTTACCCAGTGCCTTCTAGTACCTCTTCAAGTTCCCATTCCTACAACGATACCCTTACACATGCAACTTCTTTGCCTTGACTAAGAGGTTGAATCAGCGACAGTGCATGTAAACAGCGCAGAACTCAGGTAAATCTCTAGGAATTCACTATATGCACCCTCGATCACCGAAAAACCCAGAACAGGTAACACTGTCGAGACGCTGGCATTCGCCTCAAAAAGCTCCGTCAATCAGCGCAGCTAACAATACTGGAATTTGCCGAAGTCCGAGCGCAAACGCCGTTGTTTCGTGTGTACAGAATCAACAGACACACATTGAATCACGCAAAAACACACACTAAGCACGCGAACAAATCGAATTCGAATAGGCGGGTGAGTGAACGGCTGGTGTGCGTGGATGAGTGGATTTTGAGAACTTACCGAAGGTAGTACCAAAGCGCCCACAGGCAGGCAAGACCGACGACGTGGAGAATGAACGTGGGTAGGATGAAGTAGTTTACTGGAGGACGCGACGGAGGCACGGCTACACCGCCATGCTGCGACGCTGAGAACACCTGAACGAGAAAATCTAAATCGTAAAGTAAAAGCTGCGCAAAAATGTTGGACATGAAAATTAAAATAGCAATTAATTGAAAAACGAATCAGGAACTTAATCAAATTTTGAATGCAAGGCAATAACTTACGAAACTATGTGAATGACTTTAAAAATAAAGTGAATGCAGTGATAAAAAGTGAAAGCTGCGCAAAAAAGCCGCTCAAATACAAACAGTTACTATTGGGCATAGAAGAGTATCGAACAGGCAGTGAGGAAAAATACTATGCAACAAAGATCCCGAATTACTTATAGTATATGAGTATGAGAAGATTCAAAGCGTCCACAAGTGAAGAAAGGACACGGCTGGTTTTTTCATTAAGATAAAATGAAAGAAATCACATTTCTAAGTCGTTTTAGTTGAGGCTCAATTATAAGGGATTCTTGCACAACTCTGCTTTGACGATAAGCATTTTGAAAACAAGTTTCCTTTTGTTTGCGATTGTTTTTGATTCCAAAAGTTTTTTTTTGAAAGTCGAAATAATTGTGCGAAAGTGATATTCAGACGTAGCGAATGAATTTCACAACTCCAAACTTCCGAAGATGCTGAGTTCAGTCCTGAAGGTAAAAACATGGTACTGACCTATTAAATATGACAGTTTTTTTTGCAAGATGTATTACCTAGCTTCTCAAAAAAAATCCCCGAGTTTTAAACAGTCACAAGAGTTTTTTAGAGAGATTCCTTATTCAAAACATTACCCAGGTAGCTTGGGTCTACGGCCATTTGAGTTTTCCATTTCGTTATGATCACCAAAATTTGTGAGGTTGTTATCATCTCAAAAAATTGCGGTTGAGAGAAAGTGGATAAAGCGAGTTCGAAGAAAAAAAATTCTACAATCACCTCATGGTTTTGCGAAATTCACATCCTTTTGATCACCAGTTGATAGTACAGTTACTTACTTTTATCCTTTTTTAAGAGTCATTAGTTCAGTATGGTTAGCTGATTAAATTTGGCTTTATTTCTTGTTTGCTTTATTTCTTTCTTGCTATTAGACATTAGCAAAAAGTTTGACTCTAAACCTGCTACAGAATACATACATGCTTTGTGGAAGTGGATGTGGAAACAAATACTAATTTTTGTGAAGTCTCTAGTCAAAGTGGATAGCTATTCTACATAAAAAGAACCTATCGATGCGCATAGGCACAGGTTTCAGAAATGACTCACTTGAGCAAATTCAAACACAAATAAGCGATGTTTCCAACAACAAATCCAGCACTAAGCGAGATTGGGATGACTTTTTGTGCAATATTTTTGATGATTCTCAACGCTCAACTCCCCGGCTATCAATGCAAAACTACGCACTCGATACGATTTGTGTCACTGAAGTGACATTTGCTCTTACTCCATGCAACTTTTCAGTCAACAAAAGACGATGGTGAAAAGGAGGCGAAAAAGTGGAGCGGAGAATGAAGGAAAAGAAGAGTAAACTGGGGAAGGTTGAAACGAACAAGTATTACAACCTTACAGTGACGGCAGAAAGGAGAGTATCAAGAAAGAAAATGGGTTTTTTTGAGCAAGAGTAAAGAAAGCTGATGAAGGAGGATCCGAGATGGTCCAAACTTGTAAGAATTTAGTCCAAAAAATTGAATGCGAAAAAATGAATTACCATAATGAATAAACAAAACATTAGCAAACCTCAGAATGCGCCCGCGAAGGCGGCATAGACATTTTGGTCGCCAGGCTGTCGGTAAGCCGACAATCACTTCCTCGCTGTCAATAAATAGAACAGTAATGTGGCTAAATAGCAATCGAAAATGATGCTGATCGCGCCGATGGAGGGGAGGGAAGCGATGCGGGGGACGACCGGGGGTGGTAGGAGGGTCCCTGGTACGGTGTGCGCAAGGCGCTCACTGAGGGAGGGGCCCGCTGAGCAAACAGCTGACCGGTCCGTCGAGCTCGACGAGGGACGAGCTGGAGCAACAAGAGAAGCGCGAGTTTCCCGTTCGCCAATCATGTATAACGCTAAGAAAGCGGTTTAGAGACACCTCCAACGACGAGCAGGGACCATTATTAGAAAAGCTGATATCGAAACCGTCAGGTAAAAAAAATTTGTGTTCATCCTTTAGAGGCTCTAAATTTTCTGTGCATCAACAATATGAGCGAATCTGCAGCTTATACATAAAAACTGTCAGGTTGACCACAAAGTGGAAATAGTGATCAGAACGAAGAAAATTGCGAATTGCGAATTTTCTCACAGGGGATTAACACGTTTCGGACCGCGAAATCGCGCGCGGCGAAAAGGAGGGTACTTTCAGCCGTTAGCCAACAAAGGGGCCTTAATTCTTAGACTGTGTGCTACATCTATAATCAGCACGTCAAATAAGATCCATACCCAAAGTTGTGAGCGAATTCAAAGTGTTTGAATTTTGTCGCCTGAGAAGGACTTCTGTGCTTTCTTGAAAGATAGAAACAAGAACTCAGATTCTAGTTGTACCCAAAAGTGTCTATGTTGTACACCATACACATCATTATCGAAACTGCGGTTTTTCTCTTTGAATTCGAAGCAAAGGAAAGTTGCGACGTCGCATGCGTCGTTCGCGTTGCCGCACTTCGTTGCAACTGTTGTTCGATTTGTCCTCATATCTCCTAAACAATTATCGGCGACACAGATTTACAGAGTCATTTGAAAAGAAGGAGCTTAGGCCTTTGACTTGATAACCTTGGACAAAAGGAAAATCTCCTGTAAACGTTAGAAAGATCTTTCAAAGCAGCGTGCTGCACCATGTGCAGCACCGGTCCGAAACGTGTTAAACGTGATTTTCAACAAATAGCAATACCGGTTTAGACATTAGGATCACAAAGATTTAGCAAATACATAACCACTCATTTCTAAATGACCTTTCCTGTAATTTAATGAGTGGAATTTCCGGGTATGACCACATTGTCACAATCTATTTCTTTATTGGCAGTGCGATAATTCACGAAAACATCAAAGTGAAAAGTGAACTTGGAAATTTGAACAGAAATGTCTGTTTCCTTTAGGAAACAAAAACTCAAGGAGTGTGAAGTGCACCGCGTGTGTATTGTGATAGCATTTGAAAGCACCGCATTCCAGTAAGAGAAAGTTTACCATTTGCAGATTTTCCATTCAACCTGTCCTCCTCGCGTAGATAGCAAAAAAATCTCTCTGGACGAGTCTACTTGACGTATATTATGGCTCGGACAAAGGTTTCCGGAACTAACACCAGACCAATGTTTGCGGAGCGAAACGAACAAGGCGTGCATGGAGTTTGCCCCAGAGCTTAGGAAATGAGCGTTAAAAAACAGTTAGGTGAAGGGTGAATTATTTGTCAGTTCACTCGCTTGGAATCAAATGACTCTGGCTTTTGATGTTTTTGTGATAATGAGTGTAGCCAAATGCTGGAGGCAAGTTTGCTTTCGATGGAAATCCTTTACTTTTTACGAGTTTCTTGAGACAAGGAAGTGCACAACGATTAGCATGAGGTTCCCTACAAGATTTTGTACTCTCGTTTTCCTCTCATTGTGCTATCGCAATACAATGCAATCTTTTGTTAATCGACATCAGGTTCGATTTTAGAAAAAAATCCCCCGCGTTATATACGCGTGAAATTAGGGTGCTTAGAATACTCGGTTTACGAAAGCAGTGACTACAATTAATTCAAAGGAGACTGAACAAGCTCACTCCTACAACTTACTCCTGACGGTGTAGAATGTACACCTCCTATAAACTTCGCGCGGAGGCTTAATGTTTTCTAATTCTGAACTGATATGAGACTTTTGAATAAATGTTCTTTATAGCCTGGAATGAGTAGTACATTTGCAGCCTGCCAAACAATAGACTTGCCAGCAGAAGGCAAAGTTCTGGGATCTAGGGCAATCACTAGCTAACCCTTTGATTCAACGGGATAGGCGGCTGGAAGGCGGGACTTTGAGGTCTAATCAAGGTTAGAGAGTTACCAAAGAGAAAGCGCGCGGGAGAGACGCAGGATGCGTCGCGGGCGCGAGCGTCACCTTCCAGCCGCCAATCTCGTGGAATCAAAGGGTAACTGTTCAATTAAACAGTCATGTTTTGGGTATGGTTGGATAAGGTTGGACTGGACAAGGTTGTGACGCGAGAGAGAAGCTTATTTGATTGCATATAGGAACCTCCTTTTGTGGCAGCTCTGACTATTTTACTTCGCAGCAAGTTGCGTTCTATTGCTGCATTGTAAATTTATACCGGCTAACCTATTCAGTCTAAAAAGCCTGTGTCATCATTTTGAAAATGTATATATATATAATCTGCTGAAATCTCTATATATATAAAACTCAAGAATTGTCTGTTTGGAGGGTATGTGAGTTATAGAAACGCGCGCCATTCAACCGATTGGGCTGAAAGTTTGCACACAGATGTTTTCGACCCCGAAGACGGTTTTAGGCACTGGGTAACAGTATTTCACTGGGTTCGGCTTCCGGCTTTCCTTTCACTGGAATTCGCTGGGTTCTTCTATCGATTTATTGATTTGTTTACGTTTTCCTAAAAACTGAAGGCTTATCATGTTGATAAAGCATTTCCCCATAGTCATGTAAAGGAGGGCGGTGAAGTTCATTTTCACCTCAAGATCACAAGGATGCGGTTCCAAAGCGCATGTCCCAGGGTAAGTCATCCATAACATATAAGAGGGGGGGGGGGCTGCAGTGCACGTGAGCAATGACCCGGACTGGACCGGGAAAGCCAACTAGTTGATAATTTTTTCTACTTATCAACTATCATGAATGATTTACACCTCCTATGGAGCTGCTACTGCACAAGTTGTCGTAATCGGTAGAAAGAGCGCCAACGGAATTGTGCCTGCGCCATGCTTTTATGGCCTGCAGCAGTGCAAATACACTTATACAGAGTCTTCCAAAAGTCTTGGAGCCTGATTTCCTACATATAACTTTGTTAGTACTTCTTGTTTGTACTTATGAGATCTTCCTTAGTTTCGTTGATAATTCCTCAAAAAGTCGTATCATTTCCATTGTACATTCTTGAGATATAGTTCTTGAAGCAAACAGTATTACGACTCTAAAGTCAAACTAATTATACAAACTGTTCAAACACGTATAGCTCTTTTGCCTCCAAAGCTCCTGCGGAATCTTAAGCTGCAAATTGCAGAGCTTACTTTACTCTATTTCTATAGTGCAAAACCAATCATAAGTATTCATTACTGTACGGTTGGTGGTCTCCGCCACCGAGTAGAAAAAAATTCTCGAAAGCAAACCCGAACAAGCTGGAAACCACATATAACACCAAAACAGTCTAGACGGGTCACTAATTCTAGCTGTAAGCCCTGCATTTTCACCAGAAAATCATTTTGAATTCCCAAAAGCTCTATCACCTCATGCAATCCAATCATTTTTTCATCTTTGTTTTCCATCCGAAAATGAGCGATAAAAAGAGGAAGACAGCTTATCCGCGATTTCATGGCGGTGGCTGTATGTATTTTCAAACACTCATCACTTTTGCGGTCAAAAGCAGGCGAGACAATCTTCATTTTGGAGGATATCCGGCTTACCCTATCGCACACGTAACACAGTTTAGACGGGTGACATTTTAAAACAGCAGACAAAGATTGATGTCCTTTGTCAAGATCATTCATTTTTCGCGACCACAGTACGGTACAGCTGAATCTTCGTACAGTTTTCTGATAACCCAATCTAAGCAAATTATTACTTGCATTATCACCCACTGTAAAAGTGGATGTTTCCTTCTCTGACGCCTTTTTAAAAAAGGGCCATTGGCATGAGGTGATTTGACATCAGTAAATGCAGGCTACCGCAAAATTGTGGAGATGGAGGGAAGAGGGGGGAGTAAAATGGGAGGGGGAGTCATACGGATGGGCGGGTATGTGTCAAGTTGAACGATAGCTGGTACCAGCGGCGCGCGGGGTCATGAACTGGCAATAACGTGTTCGCTCAAAGCTCCGCCCTACTGGGGCGGACGAGTTTCTCGGACGATACCGTCAAGTTAAAATAATCTTTGATAGTGAGATATAAGCTTGTTGCAAGCTGGGGTGAAGCTTGACTATTTACAGAATCTTGTTTTGATTTTTTGTTTCTTTTTTTTGAATCAATCAATCAGTCGATGAACAGCTGATGTGTTGGTCGTAAAATTCGAGAGATTTGCTGATTTACCTATGAATGACCAAGTGACTCCTGGATAATATCTGCTGCATGACGAAGGCGGTTGCCCAAATAGGTTGAAGGCTGTTGCGCACGCGGCGCGCGGGCAATTTTCAGCCACGGGGCGCGCGCACGCTCCGGTGGATGACCGCTGACCGAGCGTGCGCGCGCCGGTGGTTGACAATTGCCCGCGCGCCGCGTGCGCGACAGCCTTCAACCTATTTGGGCAACCGCCTTCGTCATGCAGCAGATATTATCCAACTTTGACGTGTGAAAACAATCTAGAACACCTCAGGCATGATTGTTTGAGTGACCTCACATCTTACGACTAGTTCACACGCAATTTCGATTGAGTTGCAGATCGATTTATATCGAGGATAGCAGTTTTTGGAAGCAAAATAAAAGAATTTTGTTATTTGAAGCATATTCGAAAAAATTAAATGCAGTATGATTTTCCTGAAATCTGAGCAAATTTATGTGATATGACCGCATATTTGCAAAACGAGTTAGTTTGCTTGACACAAAATTCGCATATAATGCTTGTTTTGAATTCTCGTCATAATGAAATCTGTTTTTAGCTATGATTAGGGTTTTGAAACTTACTCCGATAAACAAGATAATGGTTTTGGTCATTTCAGCAATAATAATAGTATTTCTCGATAAGCTGACTTCTTTTTGAACTAAACTTGAGAAT